CTTGCTCTTCCACTCTCTTTCCTTGCCTCCCTTCCTCCCCCACACACTTAACTGGCAAAGCCAGACCAGAGCGAGAGTGTTAGAGAGTGGGGCCACTGGCAGTGCGTTGGTGTGGGCGAGATAGCAAAGCGACGACAAAGCAACGCCACACACACATACATATGTTTTGTATTTAATTTTTTGTTTTTTATTTGTATTTTTTTACAACTGCACGATAAGAGAGCAGCAGCAACAACAATAACAGTACTAATAATAAGCAGTCAGTAGCGCTGCACGCAAATAATTTTTTATAATAAAACAATTTTTCAAGACGGGGAAACACAAATAATTGAAGAACAATTAAAATTAAGTAAATTATTTTATTGGCAATAAAGGATTTTTAAACAATTTTTTTATCCGAGTAAGTTCAAATCTTAGAAAAGCAAAATCATGCAAATTGTGTACATTTTAGTCATAAACAAACTGTCGTACACAAATGTACATATGTAGAACACACTTTTGTTGTGAAAAAAAACACTAATTGACCAATTCATTTTTAAGTTAACTTAAACAAACAAAGCAATCAATTTATTTTAAATTTTGTTTTGTAAGCGTTTTACAATTGACCCACCACTATAATTTTGAATACAGTCATGTGTACGTTTCTTATATTTTTTCGTGTGTTGGGAAGAAAATCGTTTTCGAAAAACGTTTCGGGCTTTTGATCCTCAATTTCAACCCCCATCGAGTAATAAACTCTTGACGAGCCGACGATCCCCTTCTCCGGTCCATCTTTCCTCCCGTTCACTCCAAGGGTGTATCTCAAGGGTCAGCCAGTCAATATGCTGACAATGTGTTGTTGTTCTTCTTGTTGCCTCGGAATCATGTCCTCATGCCTGAGTTTAAGTGCCCGGTTTGAGCAGTGAGTTTAGCTGATGTGCTCACTCTGGCCTTTTTATAGCCGAATATATAACAGGTGTACATATTTCTAGCAATTCTTTAAGACATAAAACCCCTGAATACATTGCTCCAAAGTAAGTCTTTACACAAAAAATGTAAGCATGAAATTAAATAATTCAATCTTAATATATAGCTCTAAACTAAAAACAATAAAACTCTTGTGTACAAAAAAAAAACATTTTTTTTTGCTTTTACTTAATTTATTATTAACCCGTCTCCGCTTAATTTTATCTAATTTTCCTTCGATATATCACTAAAAACGTGTGTTACGCCAATGTTAACACTTCTTGATAGAAAATATATAGTTAAGATTCTTCTCTGGGCAACACATTCTTGGTCATGCAACACTGTCGCTGCGCTTGCATTGTGCGCAAGAGTGGGTGAGAGAGTAAGAGAGAGAGAGAGAGAGAGTGAGAGGTTCGTGGACTGGGACTCTGGGATTTGGATGGGATGGGTACTATAGGCGGTATTGGACCTGGACTTTAGGGATGGGGCTGCATATTAATCGAGTCGAGTCGGATCGAATCGAATTGAAAAGACGTTTGGTGGAACTGAGGGTTAACAAAAAAGGAGGGGGAGAATGTGGATTGAAGAGTTGCCTTTTTTTTAGGTAGGTAGCGGTGGTCCCTACTCTCGCTCTTTTACTCCTACTCATACTCCTTTTTCCTCTCCTCCCCCGCCACTCACGTCTTCTGCTTCTTCTTCTTGCAGCAATGGCGTCGGGACAAACGCAAACACACACTCAGGGAGAAAAAAAAAACACAGATCAAAATAAAACGACAACGTTGTTGTTATCGCCTTGGCAGGAAATGGAATTATATTCGTAAAAAGTAGTCGCCGTTTGTCGCTTGTAAGTGTAAGTGAGCCTCTCAGCAGGAGAGGGAAACGGGCAGGAAGGGAGGGGAAGGAGATGATGAAGGTAAAGAGCGCAAAGAGCGGAGGGGGAGGAGTTTTTTGAAACGTAATACTGCTGAATTACGTTCGAGGATTTCGATATAACAAACTAAGCACATTTTACTTTTCAGCCTGAACACAGCAAAAAAAAATTCCCAGCAAACGAACGGGCGAAGCAACTACAGTGGGCGTTCTGCTTTATAAGTTTAAATATATATAAATTAACAAAAACTTATGTCGTTGGCTAGACAAGGCTCGATTTCAAAGTTATACAAGAAAAAACTATAGTTAAAAAAATTGCAAACTTAGTATTCCCTCACGAAACAATAGGGGTCTAGGTGGCGGCAACTGTCGAACTGCATTGCCAACACTAGAAGCTAAGAGCGTGTCAGTGTGACATGACAGACTTTCGAGACTTGTAGGCGTTAGAGTGGGCGGGGGTCCTTTTTGAATATATATATAAATAAATATACATATATATATAAATTAACTCGCGCTGTGTAAGAAATACTTCAATCTGCATGTCAAACCCCAAATCTCTTGCTTTTATAGTTCCCGAAATCACAACGTTCATACGGACGGAAAGAGAGATCGACTTGGCTATTGGTAATGATCGAGAACATATATACATACATATATGTACATATACTTTGCGGGGTCTACGAGTAACGGGTATAAGAATTAAATATTTGTGATGAGGTAATTTTATTTTGATTTATTAAATAAAGAAAATATATTAAAATCGAGTATGACACTGACCATAAAATAATTCAAAATATTAGTTTATTTGTCCAAACGTTTTATTTTATTTTATTTTATTTTTGTTGACTGTATCGAGAGTGCACTTTAAACTGCATAAGTATACATATGCATACATGGTAATATGTATAAATTTCATAATAAAGTGAAGTTGAAACCAAAGGAAAAAATGAGAAATTAAAAGTTATGCGAAAAGTGAATTTTAAATTTGGTGCTCCCTTCTCTCCTCTTAAGGTCTGCCATTCTCCATTCTCCCCTTTCCATCCCACATTCCAGCCGACTAAAGTGGCGCAAGCATTGAAAGACAAACTGAAAAAACAAGACATCAAACCAAAAGTTTTTGTAAATTCACAAAAACAACTATTGCGACACTTTGCCATCCAAACAAATGAGGAAACAAACATTTTTTTTTTGCGATAAAGTGAATTTGTCTTTTCTCTGTTGCTCTGTGCCAAAAAATTTTAAAATAGGCTTGAAATATATTCAAAAAAATATGTATAATCTAAAATTTTTTGACCAAATATTGAACTTTCAATCTAGATATCTGCGAATATTTTAAAGTCCCTTGATTTTAATATATTTGTGATATTAAAATATGAAATAGCAATGTTACAGAATATCGATTTAGCAGTAAAATTTTTGCTCAGTGTGCATAGCGATTGCGACAATATTGTCGCCTGGAAAAAGTTGCGCTGCAGTAGCTTCTATGTGTGTGTGTTTGTGTTGCGCCCTTTCGCTTTCGGCAGCAATTTGTTGTAGTTTTGTTTTTGCTCTCTCAGTTAACCAAAAAGCAATAACAAAAAGCGCTGCGTAATGAAAAAAAAACAAATGAATTTTCCATGCGAATAATCGCTGCTGCTGTGTCGATAATCGATAACACGGCAAAGTTCATTCAACAAGTATTTGCAACTTTATCGGACGTCAACCTGCCTTGGCCCTATTTATCGTTTGTTTTATTGTTTCTCCTTGCTCTCTTGTGTTTTTCCTTTATTTTGTGGTACTACTTGACCCTTTGGCTTTGCATTTTAGTTTACGCAAATTTGCAAACAGAACAGAGAATAACAAGAAAATCAAAACAAAAAGCAGCGGTGCCCGCTCTCTTCTTTCCCTTCTCCATTTGGGCTCCACTCCTCCCACTCGCTTTTGACTCCTCTCTTTTTCATCCAACCCAACCGCATGACAAAAAAAAACTTTGTACGTAATCGCAGTAGCAGCGCAGCAGCAGAGCTCTTAACTTGGCTCATTTGAGAGCAACTTCCAATACGGACACAAAGACAAACAAAAAATAAAAAAATAATACATATATAATATACAACAGCAATCACTAAAAACACAAAAATCCAGCCAAACCAAACCCGGAACTTGAGTTAATCGAATTTGTTGTCGATCAACAGCTGCTCTGGCGACGTCGCTGCCAATATAACACGCACACACATACATACAAATACACACATATATATATGTACAAACAGTAAGTGATCACGAGTCGTGTTGTTTTTGTTGTTTTTAATGATGCTGCTGCGATGACGCCAATTGTAACAAATAAATGCAAAGAGAAGGGGAAAAGAGAAGGATGCCCCGCCCCCATCCCATACAATCACAATACACTTATCAAAAATCCTTATCAGGCAATTATTTAGTCCACTTTACAGTCTGTCGTTATATCGCCTCTTCTTTTTTTCGCTTAGTGTCTTTCTGGTTTTTGGTGAGTTGACAAACCGACAAAATAATATTTATGAATCAGCTTTAATAATGGGGAATAACAAACAACAAATTCAAGTGTAACGAAACGGAAATGTAACGAAATGAAAAATGGAAAACAAGTTATAAAAGTTAAGCAAACCAGGCATATTGCTTTTAACGACACAAAACAAAACGGCGCAAAATACAACTCCCAAAATAAATAAACCCAAAAAAACATGTGGTTTAGGCATGTTTTAAGCTGCCGACCCAAAAATATTTAAAGTGTATTTCACTTAAGAGAATTCGAAATTATGGTTTTAAGTTCTTGAGTTTTTGCATTGTTTTTTGATAAAAATGTGTTTTCAACTTAAATCATACACGTACATAATTACTTTTTCATGTCCATTGACCTATCGCAAAGCCCCCTATAATACTCTGTTACACTATATTTTTTGAAGCCCCCAATGTAGTTCAGTTATATCACAGAAGCCCAAATACCAAGGGGTAAACTAAAAACCATTTGACGATTCCTCTTAAAAGTATGTTCTTATAATAACAAGTTTCCAGGATAGGAGTTACCGAAATTTTTAGAAAACGAATTTAGGTGAAAATCCCCCAGGAGAAACAAATAACACCGATGTATCTAGGTACATATGTAAAAAACCAAACCAAGTCAAATATTCGATAAGGAACCTAGAAATATTGGATGAAACTTTAAAACTTACCGCCTGGAATATGTCGCCGCACTCAAAATAATGCGAATTAGCCACCGTCGTTGATTTCTGCACTATAGTAGCAGACATTTTGTTGTTCTTGTTCAAGAGATTTTGATCTTGATTTTTTCGTTGTTGCTGTTGTTGTTTTTATTCCACTGGACAAGACAGAAAATATTCTTTATTTTGCGTTTTTTTGTTTTGTTTTTCTCTATTTTTTTCTTTCTGATATTGGTTTGGTTTTTATTTGCTTTGCACTTGAAAGTTGAGTTATGTGTCGTTGTTGTTATTGGTTCCGCGAATATTGCATTGCAAAAATAAAAAAATCAGCTAAAATTGAAAGAGTGCGAGTGATTAGAAGAGAGCGAGAAGAGTAGGAGCGGGAGAGTCACAGAAATTACACGTGCTTGTTTATTGCATGCGCATGTGTGTGTCAGGACATTTTTCACGCACATGTGTAAGACGTAGAAGAAGAAGGGAGTCTTTGCTTTGCTTTGTTCCTTTTCCCCCACTTTTTTTTAAATATATATTTAAACAGCAACAGCCGATCTCTGTCCCGTGTATGTGTGTTTGCTTTGCTTTTATCGTCTTCGTTCGCGTTTTTAAAAAGCAGAGAGATAAGCTTGCGCTTCGTCCCTTTCCCCTTTTTCCCTCTCATTCTCGCCCTCTTGTCTTGTGTGTGTGTGTGCGTTCCCTAGTGGTGGTCGTATCTGATGTCTGTGTTTGTAATTTATATTTCATTGCTGCGCCAGAAAACTCAAAAACAAAAAAAAAAAACGATACGGCGAGTGCTCTTGTTGTTTTTTGCCTGTTGCTTCGCTTGCTCCTTCTTCTTCTACTCTAGGTCCTTTCAACTGCACACATGCGCACATGGAATGAATTGAGTGTTTGCTTATTTGAACATGTTGCTTTTGTAAATCCTCTAACGGGTTTTACCATTGTTTTAGCACCTTAAAAAAATAGGTTAAAAAAATATATTGAGCTTCTAACGTTGTTTACTGTTTCTTTTCATTTAACAAAATTTAATGTCCCGGCACAACTGACCGCGTATTAACTTGCAAAAAAATTGCAAAAAAATAATCCACTTAGTCGCACAAACACCAACACCACAAGCCAAAAACACCTTTTGAATTGCTTTTAACTAAAATTACTTTGAATACGGCGCAGAGGTCCTGTTGCTCTTCGCTCGCAAAAAACCACAACAAAAAGATGCGCACGGTTTAACCACCAACCAATCGGATCGGACTCGAAGTTTGAACTCGACGAGCAACGGATCGTAGAGGTGGAGGAACATCGATGCTAACATTGATGTGTTCGATGTTTTCTATCAGTGATATCGATGTTTGGCATATCGATGTTATGAAATGATAGCTTCTGTTAGGAAAACGATGATTAAACATTGCCGTTACCAAAACGACGATTTGCAATTTTAAACAAAACTGATCAGGGCTATGGATTTCGGCACCATGATCGAGGACATTTGTGGAGATGCACCCTGACAACCAGCATCTTTTTTGTCTGCTTTCGTTTCGTTTGGCGGGGCAAAATCGGTGTTATTCGTTGTGGCCAACATCGATTAATCGGACGGTTCAGAACTTCGGTGGTTAGAAGCTTGGATTTCATAACAGAAATATTTAAAGCAACTTGGGCATTCCCTAAACGACGGAATCATTAATGTGACTAGATCTACAACTTTTAATTGAATTATATTTTAAAAAGGGTTAAACGTTTAATGATGATAGCACTTATTTATTTATAATCAGAACCCCAAAATAGATGGATTCTGAAAATTTGAACGCGATTTAAGGTCGGGGATTTTCGGAAGTACAGCCCAAAATATATGTGTATTATATTTGAACGTTTGCAGTGAATTAAATAACCGATCATTTTTACTATTTTCACTGTTTTGAAAGAAAATGCGTTGTGTTTTTTTTTAGCTACACCAATGTTAAGAAAGCGAATTTAAAACATAAACCAATTTAAGATATATTACCGTATTAAATTTAAATCCGAACATCCGATAATAATATAGTCTTTCCCTTACCACAACAGTTCCTGAACGCTTTAACGATTCCACTCCATTGGCTCGAGTCCTCACAATTTATAAGCCTATCGAAACTATACCGCCCTAATTTAAAATCAAATGAAACCCGAGATCACAGAACCGATATTTTCCCAAAAATAATCGAGGATGTTATCGGTGTGGGTCCTGGCTTTAGGATAGATACGCGAGTAAGGTACGTCAAATTAAAAATTTGCCATGTCAAAATATGACCATAAATTCAAAATTGACACGCTGCTTATTTGAATTACATATAATTAAATGACATGCATACTTTTTCTTATAATTTGTACTTTTCTCATCCCTTTAAAAAAACAATATTATTACTTAATCTTATACAATTTAATTTAAAACAAAATAGCGGTATTAACAAAAATTAGGAAATGGGAAGCTAGGGAAACTAATAGATGGTATATAATAAAAAATGTTAGCCATTTGAAGGTAATTTTTGCTGAAAAGCATATGAATATACTGAATAAACAAAGAAGGATTTTCTTATTAAGACAACCCAATTAACTTATTAATATTTTCCGAGTTTTTCCAATTTTTTTTACAACTCGGGCTTGCCAAAGCTAAAGCTAATTTTTTTTGTTTATATGAGAGTTTCAAAAAGCTTTTAATGATTTATTTAAAATGTGGGTACCCAAATATTTTGTTTATCCTAAAAGGTTATAAACATAAACGTAAGTGATAGATTGCAAAAAGTAAAATGGGTTGTGCCTTCTCCGAAAAATTCTAAGTAGATTTACAAGTTATCTTATAAACCAGAAGTTGTTCTTATCAGCATGGTTGTTGGATTTCCAGTCAGCGCCTCCTGCTTGGAAACGGAGTGCTGATTGGCACGGGTCAGTAGTGCAGTGGCATGACGCTCCCATCCCCATCGTAGTTATTGGACGGCACGTATAAATAATACTAAAAAGAGGCGCCAGTCGTATACAGACATTCGGCGTACGTGTCGTTAGTCAACGACGATGAACAAACAAAGAAATGCAGAGGGGCTAATAAATGTATTGTACCTACGAATATGGCAAAAGACATCAGCTAAAGTTCGTCACAGTACTTTTAGAAGCTAAAAGCCATTTTGAAAATCATCAAAATCATTTCTAACAAATTTTTAGAACAAATTATAGATAAAAAAACATTTAAACTGACATTTTTTTTTAGAAAAGTAGGTTTAAGAAACCGTAAGACAATTCAATTCAATATTTATAAACAAATCTCCTTGGCGTTCCGTTATATTTTTCTGATAATTACTAGTCAGGACACAATGCTTACCCTACATAACATAATCTATGAAAAAAAAAACATTGCTTTCAACTTGGCCAATAAAAAAATGCCAAAAGTCTGACTGTTTTGTGCAGCTTGCGACCTATAATAATCATAACCGGTTGAATTTTACAAGGAGTCATACGATTTGGCAAAAAACAATAGTTTAGCCTACGACATTCTAAGTTCAAATTTAGAAAGTGAATCCGATTTCCGTGTTTTGTTAAAAACCTTAATTTGATTCATCAAATAAAGGGGCCTAAACCTTTAAGAAAATAACTATTATTATGGAGTCTAAAATGCATCACGCCTGAAAAGGTACTTCCTTATTTACGATTAAATTACCAATTTTCACGAAACTATTATTTAATAGACCTTGAATGAGAGGAATACTCAGCCAAAACTTTTTCTACGCAAAACAAAACATAAAAAGGGTAAGACAATTAATTTCTAGGGATTAAATTTCAATGCACTAAAATTTAAATTTTTGATTAGTTTAATTTCTAAGCTATTTATATTATACATATTCATTAAAGAATTTAAAACAAATATTTATAATTTTAAATGAACAGTGTAATAATAAATATACAAATACAATTTACTGCTCTTCTCTCCCTTTCTCTCGCCCCATCTCTGTCTAATGCAGTTGTGAACAGCTTCAAGTCGAAATTTAATTTCAACATATTTATTGATGTAATTCAAAAAATTAAATATAAGTTATGTTTATAATTATTACTGCTTACTATGCAAAATTACTTTGCAGTTTTGCGTTCTGTTTTTTTTTTCCTTCATTATAATTATTATTATTTGTTTGTTTTACTCTTGTTGCTGGTTGTATTTTATTACTTTCCCCCATCATCTCAGTTGGCTTTGCTTGGTTGTTTCTCCTCATCCTCCACTATTCTTCATAATTTTTTTGTTTGCTTTTTCGGTGTATTTTATTAATTTTTTTTTTATTGTTTATTCTTGTTTTTGTTTCTTATTTATTCCATTTTAATTAGTTATTGAGTTTTGCTTCGCTCGATTCATAATTAAGCATTGGATTCGATTTGACGTGAATCAAATGGGATATATGCATACATATATGGTGTTTATTCGCTTATATATATATACATATACATATATATATAGGTTTAGTTTTCATCTTGCATTACTTCTCTTTTTGCTCCTCCAACATTACCATTATTATTTCTTGTAATTTATTAGGCTAAGTGTTGATTTTTATTTTTATTTTTTTTTTTTTTTTTTTTTTTTTTTTTTTGGGCAATGATGTTTGCTTTTTGAGTGGGTGTATGAGAGGTGTTTGTGGGTGAGTGTGAGTGTGAGTGTGAGTTGTGAGTTTTCGTGTTTGTGTTTGGGTTTGTGTTTGGATTGCAAATTGATTGAACCGAATGGATTTGGAGTAAATTTGTGTGTGTTACTATCGATCGCAGTGATTCACTCGTGAATCACATTAGCTGGGGTATCATTTTGTATCATTAATGTGTTGCTTGTCTGCGCTGCTGCTCTTGTGTTGCCTTTGCTTGCTGCTTTTTGTTCCTTATTTGTTTAGTATTGAATTTAAATTAATATTAAGAAACATCCTAACGCCCGCTGCTGTTACATCAATCCTTCGGTTGTGTTTGCTCCGTATATTCTTTCTTGCTCCTTGCCAGGCCTTTCGTCCTCGTCCACATCCTCGTCCACATGCTCGTCCACCTCCACCTCCGCGACCGTCTCCGTCCTCCTCTTCTGATGTACTCCCCCATTCGTGTTCAACCTCGCTCCCAAGCCAATCCCCAGCTTTTAGTCCGCAATGAGGGGCTTGCCGTTCTGCTTCTCCTTGTCTTTGTCCAATTGCTCCAAAAGAATAGCTGGATTGGGCTGACCCTGGTGGGTCTTTTGCTTCAGCATTGTCCAGTCGTAGATGTAGTCATACTGATGGTTCAGCGTTCTGAACAGTATGCTGTATAATAGAGGGAGAAAGTTTGGATTAGTATACCATTAGATCATCGTGCAATAATAAACTATGACTTAATGACATAATAAACACAGCCTCAATGTGATTATCATCATCGTAACCATAAGTTACGCAGTAAAACTTGCAGTAAATAAACTAATTCAAACGCAGCCTAATTGATTAAATTATCTATTAATTTAAGGCGAAAAATTAAGAAATTAATTTGGAACTCTAATGCTAAACCGATTATTGTTTAACTATTTTCCGCTCTTAAGTGGTTCTATTTTCATATAGTGGTAATTTTTGGCTTAAAGGACCATGTCAATTGGACTTGTAAAATAACATTTTGAATTTCTCATTTAAGATTGAAATCCCCGAGCAATTTCAAAAGCTCAACCGTACTCACCGGAACAATTGACGTAGGTACATGTAGTCCGGCTGCTCCTCGAAGCGCAGGCTACGACAATAGTTCAGATACATGGAGAACTCGGCCGGCGAGCCCTTGCAGAGGACCTCGATGGGTGTGGACATCTTCTTTTCGGAGATCTTCTCGTACTTCTGCTGCTTGGTGTTGGCCTTCATGCCCTGCCAGGGCAGGACGCCGCGATTGAAGTACATCATCACGTAGCCAAGGGACTCCATGTCGTCCCGCCTCGACTGCTCGATGCCCAGATGGGCGTTGATCGAGGCATAGCGGGCGGTGCCGGTGAGGTTCTTGTCCTCGCGGTATACAATGTGGTGGCGCGTGTGCGGGTCACGGAACTTCTTGGCCAGCCCGAAGTCGATCAAGAAGAGCTTGTTGCAGTGCCGGCCGATGCCCATTAAGAAGTTGTCCGGCTTGATGTCGCGATGGATGAAGCACTTTAGATGGATGTACTCCAAACGACCGATCATCTGGTCGACCAGCATTAGCACCGTCTTGATGGTGAAGTGGCGCGTGCAAAAGTTAAAGAGGTCCTCCAGCGAGGGTCCCAGCAGATCCATTACCAAAGTGTTGAAGTTCTTCTCCTTGCCATGGTGCCGGATGCGAGGGAATCCCACGCCGCCGCTCAAGATGCGATACAGCTTGGCCTCGTACAGCAACTGCGGATGACGGGCATGGGCGCTTTCCATCTTGATGGCCACCTCTTCGCCGCTCTGGATGCTCATGCCCAGGTAAATGTCACCAAACGAGCCGCTTCCTGTGAATTATTGATAATTAGTTGAGTTAACAAGCATTCTCCGAGGGTAACCCCATTTTGGTTTACTCACCAATCTTCCTGATCACCCGATATTTGCCACCGACGATTATCTCGGGGCGACTTTCCTTCAATATCCTCATCTTGTCCATCCTGGCTAGCTGCTCCTCCGCCTAGGGGCTTCCTCGCACAAACAGTAATACGGAATCACTAGAAAGACTGCGGATTTGCGGTAAAAAAAATTTTAATTTGTAGTCAAAATTTATATGAAAATGTCTTGACTAGTTTATGATAAAATCATATATGCAAATACACGTTAAAACAATTGTCAAACACTTCAAAAGACCTACTATGAAATTGTTAGGATTTCCGCTCCAAAACAGGTCTTGTTAATCATTTTAAAATACCATATAAATAGGTTTATAAAATAAAACCATCTACCAATTATAACGATACCAAAAAGGAGAGTTATTTCATGTTTTAGCTTATTAAAGTTTTTGAAAAGAGCAAAATACAATTAGGTATAAATATATGTATATCACATTGGTTGACATTAATAGATAGTTTAGCGATTGCAACGCGGCTGAAAGAAAGATCATTACGAAATGGTTATTCTTCAGGGAATTAAATTTGGGAACCTTTTGAATATGATAGCAAGTACAACAACACACAGACTAATTTACAAAATTGCAAGTATTTACTAATTTTCACAGAGTTTTGACGGTAAAATATACTTCATTTATATGAAGTTATCTTAATTGTTTGTTTGAATTAATTTTATTAATCTCAATTGAAGAGGAAAACTGAATATTGAAAAGAGAGTTTCCGTATAGACATTTCAGCAACTCTCACCGTTAAAACAGCGACGATTAAAAATATTTATAATAATCGGATTGGGATTTAAGGAACAGCTGACACATAACTAATATTACCAAAGCTGTTTTGGCCGTCTGGTCTGTACTTTCTTTTCCACCTCTCTTCCTCTTTTTTCGAATTTGTTTTGCTTTTTTGCACACAGCTTGCACTTTACGTGTTTTTCTGGCCAGTAGTCAAATCGATATATCTGCATTATCGATTACTCTCACCAGGCCAGGCGATCCCCATTTTTTGGGGGGAGGGACATTTCTCCTTGAGGGAAGAGGGGAAGGGAATTTCTAAATAAACACAGACAGACATACATCGATAGACGATAGATTGGCGACAGGTACTGCTTCCTCTTCTTCCTTACCCCGTTGGAATGCATATTACACACACACACACACACACACACACCCCATGCTATGACGCACAACAACAACAACATTCGGAGCGATACACACACACTCACACAGCTGCAGTTGCACCTTACAAATGTTTTACACAAAAGAAAATTTCGAAGGCACACACACAGAGGCACGGGGCCACACAAACACGCACACATCGAAGCGCGCAGCGAGACACGCACACAGGCAAAGACCCACACTCGTACACACATACACGTTTGCATATTTAGCACGCATTTGAAACTGGACGAAATGAAAAAAATGAAAGATCCTCGCGGACATTTAACAGCCTTATTCAGTCCGTAATTCGAAAATGCTTACCAGCAGACGTAAAAACGAATTAATGCCCTGCTGGGTGTTTCTCAAGGTTGGCTCTTTTACAATATATTCGCTGTTCGGCTGCGCTGCTTTTTCTCTGCCGTTGCTCTGCTTTGCTGGTGGAGAAAAAAAAACGGAACGGGGAAAATTTCGTCGCAGATCCGTTTTCGTTTTTTTTCACTTTTGCGGACGTTTCGCAGCACGTTAAATATTGCACGTCGGACGCGAGGCTTTGCAGCTAATTCGTGCGCGCAAACGGAACAAAAAGAGAGGAAATATATGTATTTTATTAACTAAAATAAAATGGTAGACTCCAGCAAAAATGCTTTTGCTTGACAGCCAGCGCTAGTGTGGCCAGAGCTTCAGCTGGCTCTGTGTGTGTAGGTGCGATATGCGATAGTTGATAGCTGCTTCCCCCTGCTTGCCGAACTATCGACTGCGAATTATGTTGAGGGGATGAGCGCCGCTTTACAACACTGGCCCGTGGCGCTAGATTCAAATTGGACAAAGTGACCTATTCTTTCTGTCGTGTGTGCTTACGCGTGTATGTTGGGAATTGCAATCTGGCACGAAAGTCCAATTAGCTTCGTTTTTGGTTAAACCAAATGGAGGGATGATGTTTCTCATGTCACAAAGGGCCCTAGACCCGATTAATTGACTTAAATTCGAAAATCCGATGCAAAACTAGTTTTATATTCTGATTTTTTTCCTTTGGGTTGCTCGTTAGAAAAAAAAAATTTAAAACGCATTTCAATTATGTATTTCAAATGTCGGAATTATAAGAAACCATTAATAATCGTAATGCCATTTGATGTTTCACAAACAATAAAAGAGTTTTTTACATTTTTAAAGTACCAAATCCATTTATTTTCTCTAAGCAAATGCCAACAATCCAATAAGACGCCATAGTGCCTGTTTTTTGGTCTATATATTTTTATTAAAAACAGTTTTTTTTTGTTGGTTTTTCTCTTTCAGTTTTTTTGTTTTTGTTTTTGTGAATTTTCGTTTTTTGTTGTTTTTTTTTTGTTGATTTTGGGTTTTTGTAAATAACGTGACGACTTGAAAACAGAAATTAAATAAGTGTACTTTACTCGTAATGTAGTAGAAAGTGTTATAAAAGCAATATTACAATAACTGTGGTAGAATTGGCTCCTAAAATAGATATTTTACAACTGATACCACTTCTTGTCTTTATATTTAAGCATTAATTGATGCGCAGTGCCGCTGAAATCTTGAGCAGTGTTGGCCATGCGCTCGGCGCGCTCCTCCAGCAAGTTGAGCTTGTCGCCACGCTCCATGGCCAGCTGGTGCGCCCGGCTGATCTCCGATGCGGCGGTGGAAGCCCGCTGGCCGAGCTGATCCAAAGAGGGTCCGGGTATGTGCCGGGCCACCGATCGATTCGCCTTCCCGCTCTGCTCGCCAACTGCAATGATTGACAAAAGAAACTATAGTCCCAAGCAATCGACATCTGCCGATGTAAGCCAACTTACATAGCTCCTCGCGATCCAGAAGCTTGGCGCCGCCGCCAAATAGACCCTTGAAGAAACCCTCCTTCGGCTGTTCGGGCATTTCGTGTACCGTATATAGTTCACCCATCATCTCCAAAATAAATTGACTATAACAAAATAGGACAATTTTAAATAGAAGTTTAAGAATTATAACTAGTAATATTTAGTCAACTAAACTGTGGCTGACATTTATTTATATTTCTAAAAAGATAATTCTCTCTTCCAACAGAACTTGCACGGATAATTTAGATTACAAGATTTTTGTAAACGAAAATTGTTTATTATTGTAATTGAACTTTTAAAAGATTGGTCCTTTGATCACATTTTTCTTAAGTATAAACGTATTTAATTGCAAAATCAGTCTTTAGACTTACCAAAATTCCGATGATATCGTGAATTTTTGAATTTCGGTGGGCGATGCCATGTACAATCCATGACCTTTATGACTAAAGCAAAATATTTTTGATATTCTGTAAAATGGTAAAAGCAATGTTTAAACTAAATAGCCATATTATTTTCACTCCCAACTTACTGAGTTGTATCTTCATGAACAATGATCTGTTGACCCCATATCGAAAGCATTGGATCCACAATTCCCTGTTTACATTTTGTTTGAAAACTAAGAAAGTGGAGAGCATTAGTGCGGGTTTGTAAGCTCGTAAGTCCGAACTCACCTTAGTTCCATAAGCGGTAAGAAATCAGTATCCAATAACAGTTTTAGACTAGGAAGACTATGTACCATTAAATGGCCATTCGAAAGATAGGTTGCTAAGCAAGAGCCATCTGAAATAGAATGAACATTGATTAATGATTAATAAACTATAAACAAAATTCTCAGTTATATGCAAAAATGCCTTCAATAAAGATTGAGAATGAAATAAATTAACAATTATTTGTAATTTAATTGTTAAGTATAAGGAAAGGATTGGCGAAAAAATAAATGAACTAATAAATTTAACTTAGTAAAGATTATTTTTGAAGATTTAATGACCTTTTCATTCAATTCCAATTATTAAATTATTTAATTTAATTAATTAATTTCGAAATCGCAATCAATTTGTGTAATAAAGTCATCTACAACTTAAAATTAATGCAAATTTTTAAATGTTATTAGTTTAAATTAAAAAAAAAAGAAACATTTTTGAAAAGCGTTTAGAAATATTGTTAAAGGTGGTTGCATATTATTTCGAGTGCTTAAACAGAAAAAAGCATTTTTTTAACCCTGCATCGTTTGCAACGCTCCCCAAATTGTATCACCTTTCATCGTGATAGTTTCTGCCTTGACTGCAAAATCCATTTCCGATAATTGTATGCGGTTGATGCAACACTGGTTGGCCACATCGAAGACTTTTGTTTGCTTCTCGCTAGCGATAACGATGTATTGTCGATCGGTGAGAGTTTCCAGGCCGGTGCTCACACTTCCGCTGATGCCGCTGCTGCTGGCGCTGCTGCTGCTCATACCGCCCCCGGTGGCCGCTCCACTGCCGCCGGCCGCTCCGCCCGCTGACCCACCGGCCGCACCGCTAGGTGTACCGACGGCGGTCGTTCCACTCGCCGCACCACCGGCTGCTCCACCGGCTGCACCACCAGCAGCCGCTCCACCCGCCATGCCGCCAGCGACCGAAGTGTTTGATATTGTATTGGCAGTTGTCGGTGTGAATGTGGGACTGGTGCGGCTGCTGCTCTTTGTCGGTGTGCCTTTAACCAGTTAACAAGATTGAAATTAGTTCAGTGGTTAGGATGGATAGGGGTTTGCTTGACTTACGGTCTTTGTTGTCCCGTTTCTCGTCACGCCAAGTCTCAAACGTGTAGGGTATAATCGAACCGTATGAGTCTAAAAAAGACATGGAAGTAATGGATCCTTTGAGTCGTACCACAGGGCCGCCTGGAAAGAGAATAGGTACATTTGATAAAATACTATAGAATATAGACTTGTGTGGGAAATCTAGTTTTTTGGATCTGCCCAAAAATAAATACAAATTAAAAAAAAAATTCTGAAGACGTATAGTGTGACACTATATTACTTTTAAAAATAAAAAAAATGTTAACCTCTTAAAACAATTTGAGATTTTTAAATGAGGAAAAGTCTATTGCTAGATCGTTTAAATTGGCATTTCCTATAATTGAAGTTTAAGACTTAATAAAGCAATTTTTTAACACAAAATAGTTACATACCATTTATTGTTATCAATACTGGCTGAGATTTGCGCACATCTCGCTCCGGCATGGTGATGAACAATGTCAGTATCGAACCGAAACTAGTTCCAATCCACAAAGTAGGAACAAGTGTCAAAATATCTATTATAAACAAAACAAAAATAAATAAATTACAAATTGAATAATAAAATTGAGAAATATGGTGGGCAACGATCAAGCTTACCATTACGTTTTGCATAACTCTCGATAAAAGCTAAACAGGTAACAGATTCAGAGGAAGACATATCAATGCTGGACATTGACGATGATCTGGATCTTGAGAAAGTTCCATCCAATTTATCTGTAATTTATTCGGGTTTGGTTTTGGGGATCAGAAATTGGTTTGTTGGTGGTTAGCATACAGACAGAAGAAAGAAAAAGATAAATAAAGAAGTTACATCAAAATCGTTAGATACGTTGATAAAAATTGTAAAACAGAGACAGGCGGATATAGAAATAGAGAGATAGAAATATAGAGTGATAAAGAGAGAGATAGAGAGTAAAAGCGGCGGGCGGTATTAGGCAAAACTGTTTGCTTAGATATTTTATCGAATTTTTGCTTTATTATCTAATTGAATTATTATAATTGCGATTTTTGCACTATGTTGTTTTTGCGCTGCACAACACTAAAATACCGCTAGGCTGCCTAATTGATGTTGGTTGCTCTATGTGTGGCTTGCATGTTTTTGTGTGTTTATAAATGTTTTGCGAAAGTCGCTCGCAGGATATTAATATACTTAATTATATGAATCACAACTCAAAATAAATAAATTGACGGGAACAGCAGCTCAAATTATCAATCAAGCTTAATATCATAAGCAAATTAAATGTTTAAAAATAATAAGATGCATTTTGTTTTAAAATAATTTAGCTATTTTCAAAATCAGAAAATCTTAAGGGATTTTTAAATTGTATTGCTGCGAAAGAAAATTGATTTCTGCAAAAACTAAATACTTCATCATTATACTGAGATAGAACATTACAGCTTTTAAAATGTTCAAAATATATTATATTAAAACCAATCGGACGTTTTAAAATGTTAAACATATTTAAAAATAATATTGATTTTGTAAAAGTTAATCAAATATGGACTTGGCAAATAATATTTAACTTCAATGTATTGAACTTAAATACTTGCATTAAATAATACTAGTACTTGAGGGGCTTGTAAATAACTTTGTCCAGTATCAAATTTTGTAATTCTTGCAAAAATTAAATTTAAATAGAAATACATGTGTAGTGAATTTACACGTACAACCATACAAACAAAATGTTTGATATTAAGTTGTTTTTTCAAGAAGCAATGATATCGAACACTTTTTTTGTTAATTACATTATTCTTTTACGTTGCCTTGCAATTTTCAAAGGTGAGTTTTTAAAACTTCGATTTACCTTAAAAAGTTACTTTGGATATTGTATATTGTATTGAATACTTTATGCAATTGGCAACCCTGGTTTCAAGTATTTTTTGAACCTGCGAGCGACTGTTTTTAATTATTATTTGCTGAGTGACTTTTTCATTTAGCTTTCTTGCTGTTAGTGCAATTTCGTAAGCGGCAGGCGTCTGAGACTAGGTAAAGATAAAAAACTTAAGAAAAAAGGACGAGTAAACTCGCTTGCATGTGTGCTCAGCTAGGCGTATGTTTGGGTGTATGTGTGTGTGCGTGTGATAGTATGCATGTGTGTGGACTATGCAAAAGTTTAGTTTTTGCCAATACAAAGTCGGATCTTGTATTCCTTTTCAGTATCTATATTGAAATCTAGTTAGTCTAATTCTTGGTTTAGTTATTCGGTTTTAAAGTTCATATTTCTGTTTCAAAGCGTGCCAAATGCAAAAACAAATACCGAGAGAGATAGAGGTCGAAAGAGAGAGTTATAGAAGAAGAAGACAGTAGCAGAGAAGTAGATGAAAAGAGAGAGTTAAAGTAGAGAGAAAAGAGACAGCGAGCAGAGATCGAGCGAGCGAGCGAGACAGATAGAGAACATATTTGTATGCACTGTTATAGCTAGATTATTTTCTAGGGCTAGATAAAGAGAGAGACAGAGAGAGAAACAGAGAGAGCGATCGAGCGAGCGAACTAGCGAGAAAGACACAGACAGCTCCAGCCATCGCCCCCCTCAAAAACCCGCCAAAAAGACTGAAACACAAAGAAAAAAAATCAAAACGAAAAATACCGAAAAACTCCAAAATCCATACACACACACCAGAATATCCGCATACACACGCACACATACAGAGGAAGGGGGCGGGGCCACAAGCAACGTGCATCGTCTGCTGTCCATATTTATGTGAGTGTGTGTGCGTGTGCTTGGATGTGTGCGTGTGCGGTGTGTGTGTGCAAAGAGGGAGGGAGGGAGAGAGAGAGAGAGAGAGAGAGAGAGACAGAAACACAGTCGAACTTCAACAAGGCTGGTTGTAAACGATGCAGACGCTGCGCAGACTGAAACTTTTTCTAAGATTCTGCATGGCTGCCGCTGCACCATTTACAATCAGATTTGCTCTTTCCCTTAAAAAATTGAAGTTAATGTGAAAATTTCTACTCTGCATTCCTGATTAGACTAAATGAGGAGGCTTTGACGATGGGCATTTTCACATTAAAGAAGTTCAACTGTATATAGAATGTGCCTGTGTATACAGTTGAAAGAAATGCAATTTGTTCTCTTGACTATAGGTGCAATTTGTTTCTTTTTTGTTTTTGTTATTTGTTGCTTTTGTTGCTTTGGTTGTTTCTTGTATTTATTGCTGTAGTTGTTGTTGTAGTGGTTGCTGTTAGTTGTTGTTTACTGTAGTGCTCTGTTGTGCTCCCACCTTGTGATTTGGACTTTTTTAGGGACTCGTACGATGTCACTGACTGCTGTTGCTGTATAACGGATGTTTGATGCGGATACGGATGCGGATACGGATGCGGATGCGGATGCGGATGCTGATATTGATGTTGTTGCGCACCTGCACCGCTAGCACCACCACCACCGCTTGCACCACCGCCGCCGCCGCCAGCACCACCACCGCCAACGCACTCGCTTCCCCATGGATCACAAGATGCCTCAAAGGATTGCTGCTGCTGCGTTTGCTGCTGTAGCTGCTGTTGCAACTGTTGCAACTGTTGCGGCACCTGTTGCTGCTGTTGCGGCTCAGCCGCACCACCAAATCCACCGCTAATCGCACTGCTAATACCACCAACACCAACACCGCCACTAGCAACACCCGCACCTGCATCGTCTGCACCGTAAATGGAGGATCCCGCCAATGTTGCTGCTGCTGCCGCTGACGACGAGGTTGCAAAATCACCACCAGGATCACCAGCACCACCCATCGATTGTTGCTGCTGTTGCTGTTGCTGCTGTAGCTGTAGCTGCTGCTGCTGCTGTTGCTGTTGCTGCTGTAACTGCAACTGTTGCTGCGATTGTTGCTGCTGCTGCGGTGCTGCTGTCGCAACTCCGCTGCCGTTGATCTGGGCAATTGCAAAATATACATAAACAATAATTGTGGGAGACACGGGAGAGAGAGATAGAGAGATACACACACATAGTCAGAGATAGAGATAGGGAGAAAGAGAGAAAGACAGAGAAAGAGACAGAGAGATAAATGCACTAAATGATTGAATGGCCATCTCTTTCACATTTCGTTGGTTTTTCGAGTTTTGTTTCGGTTTTTTTTTTTTTTTTTTTTTTTTGTTAGCAATTTCTTCTGTTGTTCTATATTGTGCCGAGTGGGTGTGCGTGTGTTTGTGTATTTTGTGAGTTTTGTTAGTGTGCTTTTCGGAAGTGAGTGTGTTGCATACTTTTAAGAGACGTCAACATAAGGATTACCGAAACGAGTGTGCAAATTAGGACAAACTTTAGTGAGTTTATGTTTATGTACAGTAAGACTGGCTAACTTTTAAATTTTGGATCTTTAAATATCACTGTAAATAGTAAACAAATAATAAATTCAATAGTTGGCTAAAAATCTAATTTTAACTTATAGATTTAGTGTACAATTTTATCTATGCTATACGTATGAAAAGGTGGCTAAAAACCTACAACAAGAACTTTTTGTTATTAGTCTTTCAGTTTTAAATGAAACTTTCCCAAAAGTTGTCTCTCTATTGCAGGTAGAACATACATAAGTCGGAACAAGCCGGAACGGACGACTATAGTTTATAGCTCCCATAGGAACAATCGAAAAAATTATAACTTTGCTGTTTTTTAATTTTTTTTTTAGTTCTTCGACATAAAGTAATGGTTAAATATTTCAGTAAAAATCGGACGACTATATTATTTTACCCACAACCATAACCAACATTCAACTGTCTAAATAATCGAAATTGTATCGCCTCATAGTTTTATACTAAATACTAATTTTCTCTATATCTGATATCCGCTAAAGTGAAATGCGTTTAATACCTTTAAGTATGCGTTTTAAGATGAATCTCTAGGGTTTGTTTCATAAATTAGAAATAATACAAAAACCAAATAACTTATCATTTTGTTTAAAAAACAAAATAAAAGTATATAAAATTTGTACTTCTATTATTTTTACCCACTTATTGATTTGAATTATATCAAAGCTTAAAACTTACTTTTCAATTTTTGCAGTAAATCAGTCTTTTTAACTCGTTTTTTATTTGACAGAACGTTTTTCTAGATAAAAAAGTTAAAGATATAAAAACATAAGTGTAATTAAATTATAATAAATAAACAAAATTGTTTCGCATTGTAAAAATATACATAGATAAAACTCGTCCTGACTAGCAAGCTGATCACTGTAGTTAGTGTGCGTGTCTTGTTATCTGAGCAATATATAGTAGAGTCCGCAAATCGTCTATCGTTTTTCGTTAATCGGTTCATTTCCGGTGCATAGCAAACAAGATGTAATTATTTTTTGATTGTGATGTGGTAAATACATAAGCGTTAGATGATGATTAAATTTTGGTGATCAGTGCAATGTTGTGTGTTTTTACACTTAGTATTCGCTTAAGCAACAAGTTATCGAATAGTCGTGTATTCGATCACAACACAAATACGAGTACACAGCGAGAAAAGGAGGCGTCGTTGCAGTGGTGGTGGGTGGGTGACATTGATTGGGTGGCTTTGATTGACAGTGATAAACATGATATACAATAAAAACACGAGAACACGATAATAATTATTTGGGTGATCATAACATGTATTACATTAAAGTAGAATACGTTTGTAAATGTATGTATGTTATGTTATGGAATGTGAATAAGTACAAAAATACGAGCGAGTCAGAGACAGAGAGAGAGAGAGAAAGATAGATTAGACGGATATACAGAGCGAATAAACGTTCGTGGATCTCAAGTTAGAACGAGAGGAAGGCATTAAGGTGGACATGTGGTTATGCGGGTGAATATATTAGCTGGTAGTACATATGGATAATCGATTTAAAAGTATTTGGTTATATATGATTAAGAATAATAGAATTCTCTTCTTCATTTTTCAACATCATTTTTTGGTTTGGTATTGTTATTATGTACAAGTGAGATATTGTAAAGTTGGCTTAAGCGCTAAGCAAGAACGGAATAGAAAATAAAGGCAAAATGGCAACGGTAAATTTGCTTATCGATAGCCAAAACACACATTCAATAGAACAATCGAAACGAACAAAATTTGTAAATGAACGAAGAAAAAATCGTAGAAATTACCCAAATAATCGATAAGAGGAACCAAGGCCATCAAAGTAGAAGACAACAAGGGGCTTTGGGCCATGGGTCTTGAGGGGGCAAGGAATTGGTCCACAAACATGGATGGGAGCACAACATTTGAGCTTTAACCCATTATCGAACTCAGTCAATGAACAGTTTAAAGTGGCATCGATCACCAAATTGCAACCAGAAGGCTAAGAGTAATTTAATTTACACTCATTTAATTGCGTACTAATTTTGGTTTCCGTTTGTGAGTGGGGTGAGTTCGAGTGGTGAACTTATAGACTAACACATGAAGTGGCCAACGTACAACAATCAACATATCGTTTTGAGGTTTTTAGATTTGGTTACATTTTAACTGCACTCTCACTTTGCACAGTGCATACACAGAGTGTGGTGAGTTGTGGTTTCAGTGTGTGGTGTTTGGCCTACAGCGCATCCGCTTTACATTTGTCTCTTAGATTTAAATGTAGATATCATGTTTTTATTGCATACTGAATAGTTAGGTATGTAGGTAATTAAGAGCTTTATAGTTACACAATGTATATGGGTGTTGTAATGGTGCTTGTTAGTGGCTGTTGTTCTTGTGTTTTTTTGGGTGACTGGTGAGTAGTGATGATGGTGGTGGTGGTAGTGTTGTTGCTGTTGTTGTGGTGGTTGTTAAATGATTTACCAAAGAACTTCCACACAATCACATACAGGCAGTTGTATTGCAGCTCTTCTGCATCCGTTGCCTAGGTATTGAGGAGAAGAAGAAGCATAGATAAGAAATTTTTGGCAAAAGTTTTTTCTATTTTTGTATTTTTACGATTTTTTGTTGGTTTAAGTTGTTGTAATTGTATTGTTTGGGTGCGTATGTGAATTTTTTGTTGGTTGCTGTTGTTGTTGCATCACATTGTGGTTGTAGATAGCTGTTCTAGTTGTATTTGGTTGTTGGTTTTTTTTTTTTTTTTTTACATTTATATATATTTACTGTTACGTTTACTTGATTTTGGTTGTCGTTTTTATTAGCTAACACTCTACAAAGTAGGCTCTATACACAAAATGCAATTTTGGTTTTTGTTTTCGTTTCAAAAATGAACAAAAAAAGCATCATCGGATTTTGGTTATCGTTTAGTTTGGCATCTTTAAATTCGATTTTTATAATATGCACAAGTCTAGCTGATTTTTTTTTGGGAGAGGGGTGGTCGGCGGGTTTAGGAACAGGGGCGGGGACACAGGGGTGCTAAATTTACAGTACTATCTCATTTGATTTGCTATTTTCTACAGCTTGCAGCAAATAAAAGCAAAACAAAAAACGCAAAGGCACAACACATAACGGAAAGGAGAAAGTGAAAAACCCAAACAGAAGCGACGACAGAACGCCGGTGGTCGGGGAAGGAGACAAAGGGGGGCAGGGGGCAGGGGGGGTTAAGAGAATTAGATAGGAAATCATTTGCAACGTCGAGGGGGAAAATACTGCGTTTATGTGGGACATCCTACCACTTTAAGGTGTCCAATTGTATTTTCAAAGGTCGAAGTTTCAACAAAAATGTGCTAACGAACAAGACATGTAACGCAGTCCCTGCTCGGGCGCCATTTATAGGGGTTAATTCTGACAAGTCTAACACATTTGTTCGCTTCATTAAGTATTTTACATTTAAGTCTCTGCTGGGCCGCCAATTGTAGTTTTTGCTCAGTGCAGTGGAGCACCTTTAATTTTGATAAATGCATAATTACAATGCATAATACATAAACAAATATATTTCTTATTTTCGCAATAAGAAACAACAAAAATCGTTGCATAAACGCAGTAACATTTCAATTAGGAGAAAGACATTTCAGCTTCGATTCCAGGACTCAGATTCGGATACCTGGTTCAAATTCTGTCTGCCTGCCTAGCGACTGACTACTCAGTTAAAAAAACTCGCTCGCTCGCTCGCTCTGCATATAGTAGTAAGTAATGTGTTTAAGGGATAGAAGGGATAGATAACGGCTGCCTTTTGGAGAACACTTAGAACACTTTCTGTTTTATTATTCGGGGGGAGATGGGGTGTGATCCTTCGCTGAGGGGCCATACTTACGTATCTTCTTGCCTCCACCGCCGCTTCCTCCAACTCCTCCGCTGCCGCTGGCAATGCCTCCTCCACTCCCACCGCCCATCAGCGGCGAGACATCGTTCTTGAGGTTCCGTACACCGCCGCGCAAATCTCGCGGCTGGTACTTAATGTTCGGAACGGACAATAGCCGCTGATCACGCGACTTCTCCTTAAACTTTTGCCGGGCTGGCTTCACCGGAGCGGGTGTATCAGCCAGCGGTAAATTGTTGGGCCGCTCCGGCTCCACCGCAGCTGGCTGTTCAAAGTCAACCCGTCGTATGCCAGTGGTGGTTGTGCTGCTGCTACCAGCCCCTTCGTCCGGCGAATCTGTGGTGGCAGAGCGAAATTTGCCACGAACTGCTGGCGATTGAGATGGTGCCATCACATTTGGTGCCATTTCAGCATCGTCCAAGGACCCCTCCTCTTTGCCATCCGGCGTCGCCTCCTCTTCTGTGGGCGGTGGCGTGGCACCGTCCGGTGACACCTCTTTGGGCGTGTAGAAAATTGAGCTATTTTTGAGGGCCTCCATATCGGTGTTCACATTCAGACCGCCGATCTTCATATTGACTTTCGATAATTGACGCTTTAAATTGAACGTTTTCCAGGACATGGACTTTCTTCTATCCTGCAGCTCCTTGGGAGCCGCATCTTCTCGCTGGGGGCTTTTGGCCATCATGGCCGCCGATGCTGCTGCTGTCGCCGTTGCTGCTGCCGATCCGCTGAGCAGCGTTTCACGGGAACTATTCACCACCGGCTCTGGTGAACTGGGACGTGAGCTCATCGCCGTCGACACGCCGTCGAGGGTTGTTGCTTCGCCGGCCGTCTCTGGTACAAATTCAAGCGACGGACTATCCGGACTGGTCGTGTCGTTCAGCTAGATGAAGATCGGGATTTTTTGGGGGGTAGGGGGCATAGTTTTAATTTTCGTTTTGGTTTTTGTTCGTTCAGGCAACAATAAGAAAAATAGTGGTCGGTTTCGACGGACAGGGGAATTTAGGGGGCTTTAGGGGGATTAAGGGATGTTAACATTCACTTCATTTAAGGTAACTAGATTGGCTTTGTTTGTAGGTTTCTGTTTTGGTTTCTGTTTGATTTGTTCTCATTTTTTATGTAAGCAAGTCCAAAGATGCATAAATATAGCAGCAACAATTGAAGGGAAAACAGTAAAGTGTGACGTGACTTAAAGATGAAAAGTACACAAAAAATTGTACAGCATAAAATTACAGTAATATGGGAAAAATGCCTTTTTTGTAATAATTTTCTGAAATTTAATTGGACATAAAAACGTGTTTATTAAGTTACCACCTACTATTTATACAATATTGGTTTTTTTTTTTAGAAGGCAAAAAAGTTGATGCTAAAAGTACAAAGATATGCGTAACTATTGCTCAAAGATATTTAATATACAGATTTTTTAACCTGTTCCTTGTAATAGGCTGAAGTGAATTTAATTAAAATAATTTCTTTTTTGGATCAATTTAATCATTTCAATTGACATTAGGATTTTGACTCGTCTTTCAGTCCCTGGTCGGGCGCCATTAATAAGGCTCTGCTAGGTTTGCCTATGGTCCCAATTAAACATACGATAAGATTGTATCATTCAGTTTTAAAAATGTTGTATTTTTTTATTTGTTAACAGATCTGGGATCTTTTTTATTTAAATCAAAGGCAACGAACTTTTTGAATAGTCTCCGTTTTACTTGCACATTGTAGTAGGTCATGAAGTATAAATTATAAAAGCATGAAAGGGAAAAAAGTGGTGAATGAAAGTGGGAAATAGATTTTGGCATGCTTTTGTCGTTTTCTTCTTTTTTACATTCAGGGTTATGAAAGCTGCGCATTCTTGTTGCTGCTTATTTGCATTTTTGGTTTGCTCCAATTTTTCTTTCTTTGGAGTATGTTTGGTATGTACTTTTTACAAGGATAAACAGAGGTTAAATGGTTTATTGGGTGGTTTAGAGGGGATTAAGGGAGTATCGTATTAACAATTTACAATTTATACTTGATTTTTACTTTTATTTGGTTTCGTTTGGTTTTTTTTTGGGGTTAACAAACTTTGGATTGGGCATTTACTTTAGGCAACGGCTTAATTAGCTGTTATACTTAAGGTGTATAACATTTTGATGCTAGATGTGGGTGTGTTCAACACATATGCACACACACATACGCATATGCAAAACTCAAACACAAACACACACACGCACAGGCAATACAACAATTTTTTTGAATAAGTATAGATTTAGAATAAAAATTTAAAATGAACTACGATCAATTATCAATCCGAATTAGGTAAAAAAATGTATATTGTATTTTTTGTTAGCTGCATTGGTGGGTGGGTGGTTATGTTAATAAAGGTGTATGAAGAAAGGTGACAGAACAGACCAAATTCATAAAAATCACACACATACACTTCATCAATCAAAAACTCAATGAGTTGGTACACAAAAACAGAGAAAGAGCGACAGATACAGAGAGAGGAGGAGGAGAAACGTATAATTTGTTGTTTCTGTTGTTAATGTTGTTTCAGTAGAAATTGTTTCTTGATTGTTCGCTAGGCTCTTTTTTCAGGCACAACTCAGATGAAATCAACTGAAATCGAACCGAATCGAATCAGAGGGAATCGAATAAAATCAGATCGAATCGCTATCGGTATCAAACGACACATCGTACATGTACATACAACAATCACAGCCATTAATCGTGACTATGTAATGGTCTTGGGCGTGGCAATAAATCACAAAAAAAAAAAGACACGAATCAATCCAAATCAATTAATCAATTATGGAATTGTTGCAAGCTTCGTGCAAAGAACAAAAAAAACCTTAAAATCAATGTAAATATTATTATTATCATGCTTCATTTAGTGCGGTCACTTAGAGACAGAGAAAGATATAGGTTTAGAAACGGAGATGGAGAGAGAGAGAGAGACAGAGAAAGGGAATGGCCAGATTTAAATAAAATAACAAAAAAAATATCAAAATACAAATTTAAATTACAGCCAATTTAGGGTTAGAGCGGAATGGTTACATAGTTTAGAAAGAAAACGATGGCATCATCGTAACGAGTAAGAGCGGGATGGTTAGGTAGTTGTTTGAAAAAAGATACATAGGTTATAAGCTTATTTGCTGGAAAAAAGCCAACTATAACTACAGTACACCGCAAAATACTTGGTAGCGTGTATATATATGTATATACACCAAGCTATAACTATAGCTTTTTGATTATGGTTTTACAATTTTTTTTAGATAATCAGCTATATATGTCGGTTATATTTGCTTGCTTGCTTGCTTGTGGGGTGGGAGTGTATATATATGGACTGGAGGTCTAATACTACTGGTGTGGATTCGATCGCATTAAATATAAAAATGACACAAAAATGCAATAAGGTGACAGGCGAGAGATAGAGAGCGATAAATTAACTAAAGGGAAAACGAGAACAAAAAAAACACAAACCAAAACAAAAGTTTCATTGGCTACGATTTTTTTTTAAGTTAGCTCATACATACAAGTATTATTAAATATATATATATATATAAATACATATATATATATTTATATATGGGTTATAAAGTATATATAAAATTTGTATTTTTGTTAGTTTGTTATACGTAATTAAAATTTCGTTCGTAATTTAATAAGTAAATATCGGTATGCATATAAAGTTTAAATGTAAGTAAGATGTCTAGAAAAATACTGAATATGTAACATGTTCAAATGAGCTGAGCATTTGTTGGTCGGTGTGAGAATTTAAGCATACTATATGTAGCATACTTTTTGGTCTGTCTGTGTTCTCAGTGTTGCTGTGTTTCAATTCAAATCAATGGCCAATTCGAATCATATGGTCTGTTTGTTTGTTCAGTGATGACGTGTTTCAATTCAAATCAAATTCGAATGTGTTTTCGGTATGAGTTCGAGTGTATGCTTGTACGCGGTTCACGGCGATTCGGTTACATATGTAATTGTCTCGTTGGCAGAGAGAGACAGAGAGACTGACAGACAGAGAGAGAGAGAGATAGAGAGATAGAGAGAGACAGGTCACTTACCTGATCTGAGCTGGGCGATCGGCTTTGCTCCTCTTTGTTCTCAATGCGTTTTGGACTTTTTGGTGTTCGCGAGTAAGGATCATGTGCGCCATACAGATCGGGGCATGCAACACTCAATAGGCAAATTTTTTGGATTATATCAATTATGACAAGTCCATATTCGGTACCATAAGCCATTCTAAAAACAGAAAATATTCATATATATTTCAAAAATCAACTGCATACAAATCAACGCCATAAAACAAATGCGAGAAAACATTTTGTTATCGGGATAAAAACTGATGAAACCAAGCCAATGAAGATAACATAAATAATAATATTGAATGGATTATAAAATAAAAACACGAAAATAAAAGAAATAAACAATAAATAAGAAACTCTTAAATAAATAATATACAATGATAGCTGTATAAAATACCAAGGAATGAAATAATTATAATGCAATTCTAAAAAAAATGCTACATAAAATGCAACAAATCTGTACTAATATTTACTCTATTAATTAACGGTATTTACCAACAAAAATCTGCACTAAATATATTTAAAAAAATACTAAAAAGAGCATAAGAAGTGTGCTTAGAAAATTAAATACAAAATCAAACTACAGTGCTTAGCTAAAGTCAAATGAATTTTAAAAAATACTAATTAATACTAATACAAATATAAAAATTGAAAGTATATTCAACGTAATATACCCAATAAAAAACACTGAAAATATATGAACACAAATACGTATACTGATAAAAAAAAAACGAAAATTGAAAGACAAATGAATTATTTTGATGCGCATCATCACTCACACACGCGCACACACCAGGCACTAAAATACGGATCCATCCGGTTTCGAGTCCGTCTTGAGTTCGTCGTTTTTGAGTCAGTCGGGCGGAAGGGTTTAAAAGTCGGTTTAAAAATATAGAAAGACAAGGGTCAGGGGGTCACAATTCTGTCCAGGACCTTGGCTAATGGTATTCACCAAGGGAAGTTGATTTAGTTAATGGTCTGCTTGCAACTGTTGCATACTACGAAATACACAACGCAAACAAACTAAACAAAAGCGGTGCTGCTGAGGGCGGGGCAGAGGCAGAGGCAGAGGCATTGGCGTAGGCGTAGGCGGGGGCGGGGCTGGGAACGGGCTAGAACACTCATGGAGCGTTAGCGGATACTTTTTGTTTAACTTTTTCGGCTACGTCTCAGGCGCTTTTCAGAGAACGTCATGCACATATACGAATACAAACTAGACTACGTCTAAGTATTTTTTTTTTTTTTTAAGGGGCAGGGTTTTGGAAGCTAGTATCTTTTAAGTCCGCTTTCCTGTGTCCTTTGTCTGGTGGGTGGTTGGGTGGCTTGGCTCTTGGCTCTTGGCTGGTTGTTGTTGGCGGTGGGGGCTGCTGGGGCTTTTTGGTGGTGGTGTGTGTACGTGTGTGGCTGGATCAATGGGCAGATGGATCTTTGGATGGTTGGATGGTTGGATGGTCGGATGGATCGAAGCGAGTGTCTCGGGGATGATGGGATAATGGGATGAGCGCTGGCTGCTTGGATGGGTGGCTGGATGGGTGGTGGCAGCAGCTACTTACAGGCCGTAACTGGAGCTGATGCACAGCGAAGTGACCTGCACATTCCGGCGATTGGGTCCGGTGGTGAGGCAGACCAGCTGCGACTGGAAGCCCGGTGGCTTGCGCTGCGCCCCAAAGCGCACCTTTAGCGAACACTCGGTCGTCTGTGAAAAAAACAGAGTTTTTGAATCAATAGGGCATATATACAAAAGACAAAGTTTTCCTAATTCAACATAAACTTTTAAGAGTGGTATCAATGCATAGAGATTTTTTTGAAAAACAGTTTTAGATATATTTTTAAGCCAAAATTTGTAATACTAAAATGTCTAGTTTTTAGACCCATAAAGTCCCATTTAACTAGGTAGAACCTCCCCTGAAGTTCATGTATATTTTTAGCTTCCTTCTTTTAATAATTAAAAAAAAGAAAAATAGTTAAATATAATTTTACAATTGAATTAAATTCTTGGTCGCGTGAAAAGAAACCCTTGAACTACATACATATATTAAACACCTTACCTTATCCGATTCACTCGACTCCGTCTTCTGCACTTGATGACCCGTAAGGAAGTCGCACTCGGGACTCGTGCCGTAAATGTCATCAAAATTCTCATAGAGTATGGGTATCTCCAGCACCAGGACCTCCGACGTGGACTCCACCTTGCGGAACTTGAATAGCATCACCTGGCCCATGGCGCCGGCCACACAGAGGCGTCGCGACTCCGAACAAAGGAAGATGAGGTGCACTGCCAGCGGATTGTCGCTTTCCGGATGCGAGTGGGCGACGTGGGAGCGCGGCTTCTCGAACATCTTGGCCGTCTTCAGCTTGTAGAGGATCTGTAGCGTGCCGGCACCGGAGTCCCAGAACTTGAGACTGCCGTCCTGGTGTCCGGTGATCACGATCTCCGAATAGCTGCACGACGCCGGCGACCACTCGCCACCGGATATCGGCCATTCGCGCTCCGAGAAGCAGCTCTTTTTACTTGTCGTTGTGCGACCAACCTATTTTTGTAATTAATTATTTAGTAAATAAATAAATAAATAAATAATATAGGAACCATAAAAAGTTGGACACACTCACTGAATAGAAAGCAGGAACCAAATCCGATGGGCAATCGGTTAAATATGTGCAACATGTAACAGGTGATTCGTGTAAGTCCATTGGATAAGGCGATTCAAAACATGGAAAACCGGGTGTTAATAAGTCTATTAATACTAAGTCGTATTGCAGCAACACGGCAATTGCATACGGCTCCTGGGTTTCTGTAAAGGAAGAAAAAAAAAAACAAAAATGTCAGTAAATTTATTTAAATTTAATTTAATTTGAAAAAAAAATCGTTCACTTAGAAGTACATTATTAACAAAAATGTAATTCTTTCACATTTGTTTCAAACTACAATTGTGATTAAATGTGATTAAATATCACCAAAAAACACTATCAACTTAAAGTGTTTAAAGTATTATATGACCTAATTATAGTAATAATAACGATAATAAACTGCTTTATCACATTTTTAAATATGTAGAAACAGAAAATGTTTTACATTCATATAAAATATATATTTGAAATATGCTCTTTTACTGATGAAATATATTTTTCTTCGTCGTTTAAAATATTTGCCTATATTGTGTTCTATATAATTTGTTTGTATCAAAGAAAATCATACCGCAGGGCCAGGGATTCTCGCAGAGTGTGATGAAATCGCATACGGCGTGCTCCATCTCCAGCACCGTGGTGGCCTTGCCCACCATCACCGTGATGCAGTTCGACTTGGAGCCCTTCTCCGAGGGCATGCCACCCGAGAAAATTGTGAAGGTTTCCCTGCAGTGAGCAAGAGCAATATTATCTATTATATGAGTCAAGTTTTTATTATTAGCATTTGTTGTTTTATTGTGCCGCCAGAAGCAGGCTGAGTCTTATTATCTGAGATATTTGTTTCGTTTATGGTTATTACTCAAAAATAAAGATTATAACCGCAGTTGTATGAGGAGTTGAAATACTTTTCATTATCTCCACATAACAATTCATACATAAATTCATTGTCAACAATAAATGTGTATTGCCTATTGGAAATAAATGGAAATAAATGGGTGCGCTCTTAACACTTACCCAGTTACGCTGGACTTCAAGTCAACTTTATAAATCGGTTTGCATTTCTCTGCGTTGCCATCCTTGTTGATTTTAGCTGAAGCACAGAACGCAAATCAATTGGGATTGATAAGAGAATAGCAGTTGAGAGGGGGACCTACCATGCGGGCAGACCTGCGACTGCGGCTTGGCCTGCGGCTTCGTTGGCCAGGAGCAAATGGAGCCATCCGTGTGCGAGGACACAAAGTACTTGCCCTCGTAGTGCCAGGCCAGGGACTTGACGGCCTCGGCCGCTTGCCATCGTAATTCAGCGCATTTCGCCTTCAGATCCCACAGCACAAGCAGCCCGCACTCAAATGCAATAAGCAACTATGCGGAAAGAGTCTCATCAGTCTTCATATACAATATATATATTTAAATGTAGGGGCGACCACACAAAAAGATTCTTTTCCTCGAACAATAACTTGATTACATACAAATTACAATTTTAAAACTATTTTTGTTATAACATTTTCTACCTATATTTACAATTAGTTTATTCCTACACTCATATTGATAATACAAAGCTAGAATTGTATATGCCACAAACATCGGCAATAATAAAATGTCGAGCTCAGAAGCTTCCAAAGTGGTTTCCCCCTGATCGTATAACATACCTTGTTTGCATCCAATGGATTATCACATAACGCAATCACAGCACCTGGATGACTAGTTCTAACCCTGCATTTGGTAGAAACCCATTGTTAGTATTTCATTTTATGGTTTCGCCTCGGTGCGAGCTGGACTTACACTTCAATTGCTTTATTCCAGTTAATAATATATCCACTAAGTGCAAATGTATCTATCTGAACAACGTGTATGTTTCCCTTCTCAGTGCCCACGTACAGCCATTTGCTGCCAACGGGCAGGTGTATGCAAGTCACGCTGCAAGACAGATGGAAATTATGTCATCAGGAGATAGGTTTATAGTTTTGGTAGGAACTAACTTAAATTAACGTCAATTTTATTCATAGTTTTAGTGGGCAATAAGATCTAAAATAAGACACAATTACATATTTTGAATTGCTTCATCAAAAATGGAATTGTTGTATTATATTTAGATACTATTTTATTTAGATAGGATTTTTACTGAACTGTACTTAACATATTAATTTTATTAGACTATTATTCAAAAACGTTTTGTAATAGAATAAAGAATAAAACTAATAATACAGTTTGATATACTGTACTTAATTTCCATGTAACTTAATAACTGAACGCGAAATACTTGAGTTAAAGAACTTACCGCTCCCGTTGAAATTTCAGACTCTGCACAATGCGCGGTGTCTTTTGGCGAATGTTCCACAAGTGAATGGTGTCATCGGCGGTGACGGTGACCAAGGCGCCTTCGTTGACCAGGAACTGGGCAAAGAGCACGGCGCACTCGGACTCGCCCTCGTGTTTGGCATGGGCATCGACGCCAGGTCGTCCCAAACTAAAGGTGTTGTGTATAAAAAAGATTTCATCAGTATGCTTTTGACCAAACAAATTTAATTTACACTTACAGACGAATGTAGCCCGATTTGTCGCCAATTGCTAGTAGCTTTTGTACTGGATCGAAGGCGAAGGATGTGGGCGAGTATGGAAAGCCATGGCGAAAGGTCTGCGATAAAGAGAACACAGTCGGTTTAATAAATTTATAACACGTATACTTATATCACCAACATTATTCACACTTTTTGTAAAATTCACATACAATTATGTCTTTATGCGCCACTATTTCTAGGCAAATACGTTTTTAAATCTAGTTTTTAACTCATTATTTGCCCGGTTATCACAGAAATCTTTTTTTAATTAAGAAACAAATACAAGGGTCGTTAAATATTTAATGTACGTTATCTTTTTAGACAAGCTGATAAGTTGATAAAGTAAATTATTACTTCTAGACACCTTAACTTTTTTTTTTTAATCTTTAGTATCGCGCTCGACGTATATAAATATATATACAACATGAACTTTTTGAAGTCATTAAACATCGGTTATAGCCGCGTGTGTCTTATGATAGATTCAAATCATTACAGCTACCAAATAAAACACCCGCTAGCTGCAACAGATGCCTCTGAGCAAAGTCACTTCCTAAAGAGAGTGTAATACAAGTGATTGGCTTACTTTCTTTAACGTAAAATGGTCGGCCTTGAGTTGCTCCTGGATTTCCTGCTCCTGTCGTGTGGCTTGGGGCTGGACGCTTTGTCGAAATCCATCTAGAACTCCTTTGAATGTGAACTTTTTCATTTTTGTAACATGAGTCGTCCTAGTGCTCCGGCTGCTCTATCCTCAGTTATGCGATGGTGCTCCTCCTCGAATAGTCTGGCCAACGAGGAATAGTTTGCCAAATAGTTTTGTGAGAACAGTGAGACGGAGTGGACAGAGTGGCGGACTGGATGGTTCTACAGGGGTTGAACAGTGTCGGGGTTGGGATAGGGGGATGATCCTGGTCCGAGGAGAACCGTGGAGTGCGGGGGGGATTGGTTTCTTCCTCCGCCCGCGGCGATTCTCTTCTTCGAGTCCTTGGTAGTTTTTGTCTCTAGATAGTGATAGAGCTGTGCGTAATCGAAGCCAGAGGAGCCAGTGCTGCTCTGAGCTAGTCCTTGTTGCTTAATTTATTTTTGGGATGTGAAACTAGGTTAACAATAGTCGAATTAATAGCTGCAATCAACAAAACAGAGAAGCAGGAAAGGGAATCTAGTTAAAATGGCTGGAAACTAGTTGCAAGCTTAAATTACAATGAACTACACTCTGTGTTATATTCTAAGTGCTCCCTGAGGTCCTTTTATGGCACCCACAACTCCCACAGAAGAGGTGTATTTGTTTTATTTAATCAAGGATTATTTATATTGGGCAAATAGTATTATCAACATTTATTTAAGCCCCCAAGAAAAATGTTTACTTTCCTGATTCAAAAACTCAGCTAAATAAGAATTGATTCCGCTTATTGGCATTAAAGAAATTGCTATTGCAAGCTTGGAAAAATATATGTTTTTTTATTGGGCACTATACAAGTATATACACATGTATTTTCTATTTGTTAAATGAAGAATCTATTTCGTTTTACAGCTTAAAGTCGATTCAATATTCTAACAAATGTTATTTATTAATGCTTTGAATAAATCCAAATACTATTAAAAAAAAATTAACATTTTTTGCAGGGATGAATGGATTAAAAATAAATTATAACGGTTCTTAAGATTTGTAAAATCGATTAGATTATTTTCATTATCGAGTTCTTTAAAATATTGTTTAAAAATTGTTGTATATTGAATTGAAAAATCTTTAACGTTTTCAAGAGAATAAGGACAAACGTTTTTATATATTCACCAGTATTTTCCAGAAATAACTGCTGGAATGCCAATTTAGATATCGATAACGGCTGCCAATTGTCTGGATTTCGATATTGAAACGTATTTTTTTTGCGGTTTTCCTCGCTTTGTTTTCCCTGCTTCTTGTTTTTTTTTATCTCTATTTCTTTTGTTTTCGACTGGCCTGGGGGATTACATAAACCTTGATTTCTATTCAGTCTTTGACAATAGCACACGTAGATTAATTAAGAGCTCCCATCCTCAACCCCTGCTGTGTGTGCGAGGGGGATGGCGAAAAGAATCAATCTGTACAACGGGATATTGCGATTGCAATAGCGAATGTTAAATGTTAAGCGATTGTTTGCTGTTAATTGAAAATCGTTGCTGCCACATTATGTTGCACAACGGGGTGTATGTTAGTGTGTTTATGTGGGGATATGGGGATATGGGAATATGGGTAGCCTATATATGCACTTTTTGATGGCACACAAATCGATTTTTTCGCACACTCGCACATCACAAATGTCGTGTGTTCGACTACTCGGCTTTCCTTTTTGTGTGTGTTCTTGTTTTATTCTATTTTTCTCTGTTTCTGTTTTTGCTGACTTTTTTGCTTGTTTTATTTGCAATTGTTTACGCTTTGACAAACCTACATGTGTACACAAGGACATACATACACATATGGGTCGCCAGGACAAAATGCGCGCAACAGTGGGGCAAAAAAAGAGGAAGAACAAGAAGGATAGAGGGAGTGGGAAGGACAAGCAAATCGTTGGCATACTTTAAATTTAATTCCCGCAAACAAACATTGCAGAGGGAGTGAGGGGAAAAAGAGATTAGTGTAAGAGGTGGGGGTGGCGCCTGCAGGACAACAGGAGGTGTCTTTGTGTGTCTGTTGATAATGACAGTGTGCTGTCCCCCTTCCACTCGTCCTAATGATGATTAAAATGCCATTGTTGAAGAGCAGAAGAGAAAGAGGAGCTGAGAGAGAGCTAGCGAGAGGAAGTGGGAGTCGCAGGATGCTACCCAAATCTGTGTATGTATATATGTGTACGTAAGCAGCTACCATCTCGCTTCCTCTCTCTGCGTATGTGTGTGTATAGATAACCTCGATTTACAGATTTTTCACACACTGCTTGGCCCTGCTTGTTGCTACTCACATGTTAGCTACATCTTCTTCTTAAGCTGCTGCTGCTTCTTCTTCACTTGAACATACGAAAAAAAAAGGTTTGTTTAATATTTTTTTTTTATTTTGGATAGATCATAGTTTTTTTTTCTTTGTTAAGTTTTTACCAATTGTATTTTCAAACACAATCACACATAGACACAGAGACACACGGACACTGAAGAGGCACGCTTTTAAAATATCTTGAGCTTTAGATTTTAGCACTCATTGTCTAACTTTGTAGGGTTTTTAAGCGTTTATTTTTTACGGGATTTTTCCTGACGCGGACAACAAGAAATATGCTAGTGCTTGGCTGGTCAGTTGGTGAAGAAACATCGATGTTTTTCCATCTCTACTCTGCTTTCCCTCAGCCGCAGCGCTGCCCAAAATTCGTCGACTGAGCTTCTGCTGATTTTGCTGCTGCTGCGTTCCTGCTGCTGCAAAAGTGAGAACGAGAGCGCCAGAAAGAAAGAGCAGCCGATGCTGCTTGCTATTGCCAGGACTTTTATATGTATGTGTGTTAGAACCACACTCTCACTCGCACTGCTTGCAATTTATGCTTATTGGTAATGTAACGGAATCAATCGCTGCTCCTTTTTTGTTTAGCCTACTTCAAGGCGCACTGGTGATTTCCCTTGAATTAATAAAAAAAAATCTCGGTTGCCATTAGCTGCTGTGTATGTGTGGACAGCTGCCATGTGAGGGACTATTGCGCAGGCTTACGCTATTTCGCCCCCAAAAAACGTACACGCTGGGAGTCCTGCAACAACAACAACTACTTGGGCAAAAACAATGCAAAATGTTTTGCGCGCGCGGTCACATGACACGAGTTACACACACACACAGGTACACACTCGTATACACCACTTATACAACTGTAAAATTTGTTGAGGCAGCGCAGGAGCACACACACACACACACACTCATACACAGTTTTAAGTTAAAAAAAATTTTAGGTTTTTTGAATTACTTGGCCAAAACATCTGGAATAAAATTTCTAGGGGGGTCTCCCTTCGTTATTTTTAGATCTTTTGGATTTCTTCCCAAATTTTGGCTACTATTTTGTGATTTTTTTTGTTCGGTTAGGGGAAAACAACGCGTGCGAACGCGTCGAATGCTTTGCAGCGAAAAACTGAAACTGGGCAAAACTCAAACGGCAGCGTTTTCCGCGCAGTTTCCACGACACGTGTATGTATATGGAGAATACACACACTTGCACATACATATATCCTGGTGGTTATGCAAAGCAGCGAAGAGTTGTAGGGTTGTCGTTGGCTTTGATTTTAACTTGGCCGTTCGCAAAAGAGCAACCCTGGCCGAGGTTTCGTTTCCCCAGGAATCGATACTTGTTGTTGTTACGAGGGAAAAGGGGCCAAACTTTGTTTTAAAGAAGGGGAAGTAATAATCCCACATGCGAGTACATACTAAAAAATGTAATCTGCTAAAATGTAAATACTTGCATACTCCCATAATATAATAGGCCCTCTCCCTCTAGCACAGCAAACAAACACACGCACGCAGTTAAATTTGCATGGTAATGGTAATGAGTTATGTGCCGTTATGCTTCATCCTTTCTGTGCGAGAGCCCATTATCAATAACTCAGCAAAGTAGGCAATAAAAAGGAACCTCATAAGAGAAGGAGAGAGCGGGAAAGACTCTTGCGTCATGTTGGTTAATGTAGTCCAATAAGAAACTTGTTGGCCGAAGAACAAGAACAATAAAGATAGAACAATGACTTTCGCTGCTCTGATAACAATCTGCTTCGGCGAGCAAAAGAGCAAGTGAGAGAGGGAGAGTTTAAGTGATTCATCTGGAGCGAAACGACCAGCAAACCCAACTTAACGGTGATGTGATGGCGATGATATTAAAAAGCAGCACGCAAATGCAAACATGTTGTCATTCCAATACACACACACAGCACACAACACGTACACAAGCCGTTAGAATTTGCATTTTGAGTTGACACACTTGCACACACACAAACGGGACATAACATCATCGCCAGCAGCAACAACAACAAAACACATTCCCTAACACCCACAAAAATACAGCCCCCCCTATCCCCTGTAAGACCCAAAACCCCGCCCACCTGTTTCATGGCGATTTTCTCCGCTGCTGGACACTTGTCGCGCTTGACCATTCCAATCCAAAATAGTCGGATCGGATGCGGTTGCATCAACACGGGGCAAGGTGATAAACAAAAACGCAACGGCAAACGGCAAACAAAAAGCACGACAAACGACAAATTCTCTTACGGGGAGAAATGGGGCAGTTTTGACAAACAGTTGTGTTGCGAACGGTGTGACCAGATACGCTGGCGCGGTAAAATACCACAAGGCTACACTAAAATATACTAAAAAAACACCTTGTGACTACTTTTAAACTTTCAGACAACTGCGCTCAGATTAATATGTATTCTGATTTTGTCAAACTGAAAGTTTTTTTTTTTTAAAGGCAGGAAATTCAAATTCTTCCCATAAGTTGATTTCAAAGCAGCTAGGACCGATAAATTAAAATAGTTCGAATACTGGTTGTTACATATTTTAACCATGGGATATTTAAAAATTGCTTAAAAGATTTCAACTATAATTTGAATTAAATTTGTTTTCTTTACTCATTGTCAACTGGCAATTTTAAAAAGTAAATGAAATAGATCAGATCAAACAAAAACGTCCGTTCACATACTCAGATCCATTAGGAGAATTCATTACACTAATAATTGTTATTCTAAATGTTATCTGACCCATTGTGGTTCCTGAATTATAAATTTAAAGATTAGATTTTTTAATTATTATCAGGTCAGATTTATTAGAATCTTCCTGGCAAGAACGTGCCTTTTATAATGAAATTGGCAAGAATTAAATATATATATATATATATTTTAAGTACTTTATTAAAGTATTAATATGATTATTCTTCAACAAATGTAAGAAAATCATTCTGAATCATTAAAAAATAAATAAAATAAAAATACATATTAAGTACCTGTAATATAATACTTTATCGAGTTTCTATTAATTAATCAATTAATAATCAATCCCAGTTTTAAAATACATTGCCAGTTTTGTAGTTTTAAAACCAATCGCATTTGTGGTTTTATTCATTCCGAAGAATATCTTGTTAGGTTTTTTTTATTACATATTTTTTAAAGTCATTGTCATAAGCTTGTTGATTTTTAATTGCAATTGTGATTACTTCTAATGGTCAGGACTCAGGAGTAACACGTCATTACAATTGGTCTATTTGGAATGGTGCACCTTCAAAAACCATCATACACGTTGGTATTTACAATAAATAGTCATATGCTAGTGAAACGGTGGGGGTCACGACTCACTCCTGGACTGCAGGGCCCCGTGCAGCAACCACTCGCGTCCGCCAGGCTGCTGGCAACGCTCCAGAAGCTTCTCCAGCTGCTTAGCCTGCTCCGGCAGCTGCTCCTCTTGGAGAATTGCGGATATTTCCTGCAACACGGCGTGCCGCATTAAGTTGTCCTCATCCTCGGCAATGTGACGTCTCACGCAGGCCACTAGCTCCTCCAGGTGCTCGTCCACGGCACCGGGGAAAAGCTGCTCCATGGCGGCGGCCAGGTTGAACAGGTACTCGCGATTGGGGCCACTGGGCCCAGCCGAGCAAAAGATTTGCTTGGCGATGCAGGGCACTTGCCACACATCTCCGGCATAGGAGTCGTTCGCCTGTGTGGCGACGTACATGATCACCTGGATGGGTTCTACGCCGCCAGCGGCAGTAGTTGGGTATCCATGAAACTCCAGGCTGCACCTCTCATAGCCATTCTTCTCCCGGTAATCCAGATGATCGAGCACGGCTCCCTTCTGACTGGCCGCAATGCGATATGCAACGCCGTAGACGCGGTCCCGGCCGGAATCACCCGGCAGCAGAGTGACCACGCGGCCAGGACGCTCGGGAATTCCGCGGTGATCGATGCTGTGCTGGTAAAAACGACGTTTGTAGCCCCCAACAAAGCCGCGCCGACGGTCTATGTATGGGAAATCGGCCTTCCACACCAAGGACCCGTAGCCAAAGATCCAAACATCCGCATCCGTGGCCGCCGGCGGCTCCAATTGATTGCTGGCCTCGGCATCGAAGCTCCGCAGCATGGAGAAACCCGTGGATTTATCTTGTTCCTTGGTCTTACATCCGTTTCCCTTGGCCGCCAGAAGGACATCCGCAAAGAGTTCGTTGTAGATGTCACCGGGCATCTGCTCCGATCCCGAGCCGGCGCCTCTCAATCCCTGTAGATAGCCCAACATCAGCAACGGCGCTCCGTTTGCCAAATAAAATAATTATTACAAATTATTAGTTTAGCTTGGCAGTTTATCGATAAGTAAGAAACAGCTTCAAAGTTATCGCTGTCAGCTGTTAGGAGCTTACAGGGTTGCCAGAGTGCTTGGTCGGTATTTCGAAATGTAGATAAAAAAATGGTTGATGATTTAAATAAAGTTTTATTCCAATGCAGTCATGTTTTCATAATAAAGTTCGATATTCGTGTTTTTTTTGAAACAATATAATAAGTTTTCTGGAAAATGCAAGTCTTGAGTCCTTGAAAGTAGAAAACAGCATGTAATAAAATGTACATAAAAATGTATGTTTTATAAACATTAAACTGTCTCGCACTGCTTGTTTTTTTTATCAGAACCAACAGAAAGGCTGACAGCCCTGGGTTCTGTTAAGCGAACAGCTGTTTGTCGCTATCTCCATCCCGCTCGCTCTTTCAGCGCTGCCACAGCAACAACAAACGAAGGCGTAAACAATCCGATTTTGAATTGGAATTACTTGAGAAATAACACCCTGGAAAGGAAACCACACGACCCCCAGCAAAATGTCTGGCAAGGACGATCGATCCAAGGAGTAAGTGCAACGTAATAGCAACCGACTGTTTGACGATTCGAATCGAACTGTATTTCGTTTGCAGTAAGCGCAGGAACATGAAGCAGTACAATCATCATCACAAAAAGGATCAAGGACGATCCACCACATCGTCGGGATCTCCGCCGCCCACCTCGCGTCGCAGCATGGTGGATGTGGCGGATTCCAGCGACGAGCCAAGGTTTCCCAGGCGTGGCAACTGGCAATCCGGAGGATCGGGTCGCTCCCTGTTGACGCCGCAAAGGAACAGGGATCTGCTGGACACTCTGCCCAGTGACACCGATGATGTGGAGCATATGGGCCTGGACGGTGCGCCCATCGATGAGAATGCCCGCGCCCAATTGCGGGCAGGTGACTTCCAGCAGTTGGCCCAGTTTCCCAGTCTCGGCGGCGGTCACTTCACCTTCGGTTCGGAACGCGAGTGGGCCAACGTGGCCGAGGGCCAAACAAAGCTGCACACCAAGGCGGCCAGTGGTTACTTCACCCTGAACCTAACCCGCCTCAATGCAGGCCTGCAAACGATTCCGTTTTACAAGCGAATGGATTATCCAGCTGGCATGTTCACCCGGGCGCAGATCGTCGCCCAGGAGGAGGCCGCCGAGCGTGCCGAGGCTGTTTACCAGCAGCGCATCCTAAAGGATTCCAATGGTGGCTCCAAATCACGAGCTGCTTCTGCTAAATCCAATCAGGAGGCGGCAGCTCCACCACCAGCGGAGAAACCGGCAACAGCTGAACCCGATGAACTCGACGAGCTTCTGGCCATGACCAATACACAACTCGATATGGGTTCCGGCATTGGACCCATCACAATGCCCATGCCCATGCCGATGGTGCAACCGGCCACGCCTTCCTCGGCAGCCAGCAAAAACGAAGTGGAGCAGTGGCTGGATTCCGTATTGGACGAGTGAGCTGGCATCTAAAGATGTAATTAGATTAGGGTAATTCTCGGATTGATTCCAGAGCATTTTGAACTATGCTACGCTTACATGAGATATTAAAATCACCCGCTTGCCTTTGAAGAGTATATATATTGTCACTTGTGTGACTTAATAGTTTTCCAACAACTCCAAATCAAATGCTATAGCTTATTCACATTATAAATTAAATCACTGAATGCTTAGTCTAAAAGCAAGCTACATGTGTTTTCTATAAGGGGGAAACTAAAAAGTAATACGATATTTCCCAACTTCATAAGGCAAAATCTTAGGACATTTTATTTCATGAAATAATATGAGAAAAGGTCGGCCAAGAACTGTGAATTTTATTTTACAAGTGCAAAAATTAAAGCAATTCAATAAATATCTTGTACTAGTATTGTTAACTTAATTTGTATTAAACTACTTTGTCCGCTTACTAATTGTATATTACAGTTACAGCAGAGCTCTTTGATAAAAATGATAAAAAAAAACCGTATAAATCGACAAGTGAAAAAATAAGCAGATCAATTTAAATTGCAATTAAGTTTTATTTCGATTTTTTTTCAACAATTCCACTTCGGCAAACGTTAACGTATTAATGGAAATTGTTTACTATTGTGAGAACAACGTGGATTTATTTGTATGGTCAATTTTCATTCCTGTTGCTCTGCCATGTCGAGAGTAGAGCGTTTATTTCTTGGTGACATTTAACCAAGTGACCATGCAGAAGCTGCATTAGCTCGCAAACGGCCTCCAGAAGCACGAGTCGCTCGCCCAGGTGTCCCAAATCCTCACTCTCAACCATTTGGGGACGCATTTCCTCAACGATGACGATTAGCCAGCGAACCAAAATGGCTGCGTCCTCCTTGGAGAATTGCATCAATTCTTCCGGCACACCGGTCTCCTGGCAAAACTGCTGGCTGTGGCCACCCAGTGGTCCGACAACCAGAAGGCTGGACACCAAACGAACCACCAGATGCAGGGCATGCATATAAGATTGCAGATAAATCCGAGGATTCACTACCGCGGCCACGAGGAGCAGCGTCCCAGATGCACGCAACCGGTGCGAGTCCAGGCCCAAGTTCGAGAGGCGATCCAACATGGCCCAGAGCAGACAGTTTCCAATCACGCGGGCCATCGTGCTCAACGGACTGGCCACTCGGCAGCCATGGATTACGTTGAGCATTGTGCCCGAATTGTTGGCATCCAGAAGGTCCAACATATGCACGCATATCTGATGGATCTGTTACGATGGCATACAGAGGAAAATATGATTAGAAAAGCTCTTAATTCTCAATTAAATTTATTTCAGATGGAATATTTTGAAATTTCTATAAGAAAAACATTTTTTTTTTGTTCTTCCAACTTAATGTCTTTTTGTCTTACTTCTTTAAAATAATTTAATTTTTCCGGATGTACGTTTAAAATATTAAAGAACTTTATTCAATAGTTATTCACCGTTGCCACTGCCATTTTCATCATTCTCGTTTTCAGTACTTTAAGAAAGTTTTTGAGCATATTAAAACCCATTTTATTTATTTTAATAGAAAATTAATTGATAGTTATAATAAACCAGAAAGTAATTATTTTTCTTTTACATTTTAGTATTTTAATTATTTTTTATTAAATTTTGGTTTTAATGGTTTCCAAATGTTTTATTTTTTAAAATTTAAATTTTTTGGAAAATTGCTTTGTTTTTAAAGTTTTTAAAGTTATATTGGGAACCTACATGTGTTTCCTCGGCGCAGGCTAGGTAATCGAAGCAGCTTTGCAGGAAGAGTGTCCTCTTGACCAGGGTACCTGCCATATCCTCGTGATGGAGTAAATATACCATCATTCCGGTCACATAAACCGATGCCAATTGCTCAGCTCCGAATTCGATAGCTTCCTGGTTTAGCAGCTCATTGAATCCTGCAATAATCTGAGGGAAAATGGAATGCCAAAAATTCTTAAATATATCTCACCTCCAGAACGTTGTTGGTTCCATAGATAAAATAGCATTGATCGCGAATGACAGAGTGGCCCAAGGTCTGACGCAGTTCCTCCAAACTGAATCCCTGGGGTCGCACAATAGGACTCGCGGACGATTCCTCCAACTGTTCCGAGCACAAACTAGAAAGGGGAGTATAACTTAGGGGGCAGGAAGAAGACGCCTTCAAGGATTCCCCTTCCCATCGCCTGCAAATTAGTGACTGAAAGATGTGTGCAAATGGCCAACGCTATTTTAATGAGCTCCCCAACATTTTGACATGTTTGCAACCGCACTTGGCTCCCAGCAGAACAAGACAAATACAGTGGACCCAAGAAAAAAACTTAAAAGTTAAATAACTGTTTAGTGCAGCTATGACATTTTCTAACCATGCCCACCACTTTTTTTAATTTATTTTTTAAGGGCTTATATTTTTCAAAAATGTGTTAAACATAAAAATATTCTGGTTTGAATGTCAATCGGTTTGAAATTGTATAACGAGTTAAAAGGTGTATGACATTTCATTATTGGACTAATATTTGTGTTAATAAAAAAACTGATATTTTAGCGAAGACTTGTATCTCTTTAATGAATCTTTTAAATTATATATTTATTGCAATTTATTTGCAATTTTTAATGGATCCTTACTGTAGTTTTTTGTGTGTGTGTGTGCCTGCTTGCATTTCTTTGTGTGTATTTGTGCTTGTCCTTGCGCTGTTTTCGAAAAGGCTGGCAAAATGCAAATGCACGCGCGATGTGCGCATTTTAGCATAAAAGTCACCTGGCCTCCGTTTCCGCCTGTTTTTCCTCCTTTTCCGCCTGCCACGCCCACTGCCGCTTGAAGTTCCTTGCGTACTTGGGGAAATATCTGCTCATTATGCATTCATATTTCGCAATTACTTGTACACACACACACACACACACACACACACAAAAGAACGGGCGGTAAAAAGCGCAAAAGGTGGAAGCGAGATGGTCATAACAGCAGCAAACCGTTAAGTTGCTGTCAACTTTGTGTGCGTGTCTCCTTCTCTTTTGCTTGGGTTTAGCTTTAGCTTTCCTTTCTTTCCTTTGGCCTTTTTATCGACTCTTTTTTTGCTCCCTATTTATTTTTTTTTTTTTTGGCCATATTTTGCACAGATTCCCATTGAAATTTCCATATTCACATTTTAATTATGCGTTGGCATGAAAAGATTAACAACTTTTTCAGTCAAGATACTGTGCATGTTGCTGTTCCCTTTGTTGCCTGTTCTGATTTTCTTTTTGCTTTTAATTATGCATATATACATACATATGTACATTTTTCATTTATAATAGCGCAATGGCAAGAGGTGGCCAAAATAACCTCTCTTTCTAGATGCAGTGTGGCTATAACTGTTGGCCAACATAACCTCAAGTTAGCTAAAAAAAAAAAAAGATGTTCTATCCGGTTGTTAAAAAAATTGTATGTCGGTAAGTTTTTCAATGCCTTACTAAGCCACTTATGCAAATACATAAGCTGCGGTTATCGATAACCATCTGATCCGTTCGGAATTAGCCCACAAATCTGCGGCGACAAGTGCAAAATCCCAAATTCCCCTTTGGCACTTCAATTAGCCGCGATAAAAGCGCTTAATTAGCGAGGGTTGCTCAGCCAGATGAAGGGAAAACGAGGTCCAGCCCAATTACAGTCGAACATCGCTAAATAACATTATCTTTCCGACAGTTGTCCATTAGATTTCGAATTAGCTAGTTCTAAAAAAAATTAAATTTTGAAACTTCTAAAAAAAATTATTAAATTAAATTATTAAATTTGCAAAAAATGTATTAAATTTAAGAATGTACTATGTTTCATCTAGCGTTTAAAATATATTTTACTGTAATCTGGAAATTGTGACAAGCAAATATATGCATTCATATTAATTGTACACTTCCTAACCTATCGTTATATGGAAGAATAACTGTGGTAATAAATACTAACAATCATATCGGGTTCACTTCGAAAGACGGTGATAATAATCAAGAACATTATGATGTTGACAAGTGGCGGCGGGCAGCTACCCTTTAATTTTTGGGGTGGGACCGACCTGATGAGACGCTTGTGTGCGGTGTTTGTAACCAATCTGTGCATTTTACGCCTAATTTAAGGCAAATTGTTGACATGAATATGTACACAAAGCCCACCCCACATTTCATTGCTCAACACTTTCCAAACCCACCCCCTCCCTTCATTCACTTATTTTCCATTTTTTTCGGCCTTTGAGGCCGCAGGGCCTGACAAAAGCCAACAGATTTTCTTGTCATTATGCGCTGATTTGTGCAGTTTTGAAAGGGAATCGGGTTTTGGGTTTCAGAATTGGGCTCGGATTTGGGATCTACCACCACCATCACCCCCCAATCATCTCCTATAGGCGGTTTACTTTTTGTTTGCTAATGAAGTTGATGTTTACACAAACGCCGAATATGAGGTATGCAAATGATAGCCAGAGTGCAAGTGAAATCAGGCCCCATCCACCCACAAGTTATGACGAGTCTGGGAAATTCAAGAAGTTGTTGATAAGAATATGAGATGATTGAGTTGATTTTAAGGGAATTTCAAATAATCATTTGATATCATACATTTTTGGGTCTAGACTGGGAAATTGAAGAAGTTTATGATAAGTATATGAGATAATTGTGTTGATTTTAAGAGAACTTCTAGTAATCATTTGTCTTTTAAAAAATGTGAGCACGATAGAATTTCAAATATTTCTAATTTATATTTTTTTAAACAGATACGATTTCGAAAAACTATTTAAAACTGACTTTTTAAAAGTGTTTTGTTAGATTGTTGGAAATTTTTAAAAATAAACACATTTTGAAGAGTGTTTTCGTTGTAACTGGGCCAACACAAGATATATAGCCATAAGCTAGCTACCTATACTTTCTATTCCTAGTCAATTTGAAAAATAAATTTTAATTCCCTTGCAGATGGTATTATAATTTCAGTCAGAAGTTTGCAACGCTGTGAAGGACCGACCCTATAAAGTATCATTTTTGTTTTTCGAGATATAGTTTTGGTTTAATATTTAAGAATTACGTTTTAAACTTCATTTAGTTTAAGTTATTTTTAAAGTTTCAGTTTCAGTTCAAATTTCGAGTATTATTTCTTATAAATTTCATTCTTTAAAATTTTTTTTTTTTAACTTGATAAATTAACTGGGTGGCTTCTAGTCGGGAAACTATAACGGGTATATAATAGATTGGGAGGTCTTTTTTCACAAAAACAAAACTTGCTACTTTAAAGAATATCTTTCATAATGAACATCATTATATTATATAACTGTCTTTATAAGATTTTTAGTCAAGTAAGGTTCTGTGCTGTTTTATAAGTGCAAGCATATAAAATTTTTAGTTTGGCAAACAAAGCTTTCGACTTCGTTTTGTTTGTTACATTATCCAAATTATTAAAATAAGCTAAAAAAATGATAAGGTATTGGTGAATATCTTAGTTTATGACAGTAAGTATACATTTATTTAATATGACACTTATTTTATTGCACTCACTGATTCATTGTTCGCTTGTCCAACAGATAGCAACTGATCGGCGGATCCAGGCCCAAACTTTCCCGTGGACTTTTGTCCAAGACCCAACCTGTTTGGCCCGGCTTGAGTTCGAAACAGTGAACGATCCCATCGCATGTTCGATGGCCACACAATGGGACACAATGGGGCACAATGCGGCAATTAGGGATAAAGATGCCAGATAGCGATGTGGATAAGGACGAATAAACAAGTGTGGCACGGCCCGAGGCACAAACACAATTTGTGACAATTTTCCAACCGGATAATGACAAACATTTTAATCACAAAATGAAACTGGAAGCAGGAACCACCACCAATGGGTGTAGCAATAGCAGTAGCAGTAGCTGTAGCAGTAGCAGTAGCTGTAGCAGTATTACCCACAAATTTTCACACAATATGGCAAACATCTCCGAGCCGTTTCGTCCTTCGTGGTGCTCGCCCCTTCCCCTCAACCGGAAGTCAAGTGTGTCGAGTCCTCTGTGTCCTGCCCATCCACGATGACATAATCGCCCCTCATCACAATCATTATGTCGAGTTGCTGCTGCGGTTGCCCGGATTTCACTCCCTTTTTTTATTCCTGCCCTCCGGTCGGGCCACAGCGGGCACAAATTTAAATCGAAATTGGGATATAATGCGATGGAGTAACTTTCAGTTCCTCCCCTATATACATATAGCTAAAGTCAAGTGCTTACTGACGCATCTTCATCATTTCAAAAATATCTTATGCGTCCAAAAATAATCTAGTCGAATTTTTGCAGATCTTAAGATGAAATTTAAACAGGGTTAGGCTTCTCATTTCCATTTTTTAATGTTGAGAATGTTTTTAAGAGTACATCTACCTAGTATCATAGGTACATGGATGTTTAATTATAGCTTAAAATAAATTAAGAAATGTATATTTTAAATTCCATTTTAAGTATGGAAAAGTTCTTTCATATATTCCATTTAGTCCTAAGAATACTTAAATGATTTTATTTATGTAGAGATTTTTTAAACAAAGATACATAACTATTCTTATTTTAAGTACGAAAGCTATTTTGATGTCCTTTAATTTGTGAAACAAACAAACTTTACCTTGCGTTTAATGTTGAAATGGTTTTGAGCATTAAGTAAATTGGCGCTGAAAAGTATAATACATTTTTTTGCATTGCAATTTCCGACATACATATGACTTTCGCTTGTTGTTTTTTAGAGCAGCAAATAATGCCAACTAGTTTTATATTTTTCAGCCTGGATGCACGCAAAAGCCAAGCACTAACTTTCCCTTCTTTCTGCGCAAGTACTTCGCTTTTCCAATGTTGTGCAAAGTTGGCAAATGCCGAGAGCTTAATGCAATTAATAACTCATTAAATAAATACAAATCAAAGTGGTTGGCCAGCTCAAAGGAAACGAGGCGGTGAAAGAGGAGCCTTTGTGCACAAAGGATGGCTGCGTAAAATGTACCAATTAAAAATGCAATTCAGAACTCAATGGCTGCGCAAATGAACCGCATGAATGTGAGAATTTGCGAAAAGATGTGAAAGAGCCAGAAAATGTGAATCTATCTGCTGCAAGTGGCTGCTCCGTCTGAATGATGGGGGTTAGCTGCATTTTATTCATTAAATTACATTCACATTTCATAGACAATTTCATGGCAGCGCTTACTCGCTTTATTCGCCATCCCTTTCCCTTTCCATTTCTCTTTCCATTTCCATTTCCATTTGCTTTTGCATTTCCATTTTCTATTCTGCCATTTTTCTGTATTTTTGCCCGCTCTTCTTTGGCTTCTCCGTTTGTTTCCGGCGGATCCCTTCAAGTGTCTTTTTAATTAGCGTTCTGTGCCGCTCTACACCACTCGAAAACTACTCTGCCCGCCAGATTTCCCCCCTCTGCTCGTCTGCCCCTATGTCCTTCTATATCCTTCACGGTCTATCCCTCTCCCTCTGGCCCCTGGCCCTCTCTCGCTCTATCGCTCGTTAACTCACTCACCGCAGATTCAATTTGTGGCTAAACATTCCTCCTCCTTTTTGTGTAGCGAGCTAAATGGGCATGAAAATATAACTGTAACTACAGATGGACCTCTGTAAGGTGAATTACGATAACTTGCGCTGGCAACCATAATATATACAAGTCTATATTTGCACAACAAAACTTGGAACTTTCTGTCAACTCATTTGTTGACTGTCTAAATACCTCTGTCAGTCATAAACTCGTAGGGTGATCAAAATTTTAAAAATTGTAAGATACACAGTTTCATGTTGATATAGGATGAATGGTTGATTGTCGCTTGTGAATTGTTTCCAATTGTTAGTTAGTTAATGATGGTTGACTGTTGATTTTAGCTTGTGGATTTTCGATTGTTAAATATTTATTATTTAATCTTTAAAATGTTGATTTTTGAATATTACAGTATCCCAACTAAATCGTTCATTGCATGTTTGTTTTAAGTTTAAGCTAGGGAATGTTGACTGTATATGACGTTGCCGTGTCCTCAGTGGCCGCCTCTGCTGCCCCGACGCACTGTTGCCATCCCTTTTTGGCGCACGCCCCCGCTCATGCGCGCTCTGCGCTCCGTTGGCCCGTTATAATTGCAGGCAAAGTTGTTGCTTGTTTTCCGGTTGGCTGCTCTATCCTTATCCTTGCTCTATCTTTCTCTATCTTTCTCTTTCTGTCTCTCTCTATGCCTCTTTCTCTTTTAGCCCCATGCAAATAATATGTATGAATCGAGATCGAGTGGGGGTCTACATACATATATACACATAGAGGAGATATCCTGCCGGTGGGTGGGCATATGTCGCGGGTTATTTGCTATATAGCGACAAATTGATAACGTTTTGTGCGATTCGCTCAAGTTGATTTTCAAGCATGACTCACAGCTCAGCGATTGCAGATGGGCGAGCGGCATTTAACCGTTACGGTGCGTTATGTTCATATGTACATTCCTTTGTGCATTTCTAAATACCATATGGATATGTTGAACATCCACTCATCGATTTCTTAGACTGACCGATAAGTTTAATTTTATTAAACGGTAAATTAAACAGAACTTATAAGTTTTATGTTCCAAATGAGGATTTAATCAATAGTGTCTTTTCAGAGTAATTTAACAGAAATTACTTTATAGCAAGACGATTACGTGTACTTTTGAATTAAAAACATTTATCGATAAGCAAATAAAACCGATAAATCGATCGGAATATTTACTAAATTCTGATTGTATTAAGCCCCCACCCAAGTAAAAATTTAGCGTGCAATTAAATGTTTATTCTGGCAAAAAAAAAAATATTTCTCCACAGAGTGCGACGAAAAAAAAAATTTTGGTTGTTGTATATTACAATTAATTCGACTAAGCTTAGTTTATGATTATATAGTTAAGTACGTATATTAATATAATCGGGTACGTTTGGTAAATATGAGCTCATCGCTGCTATTTCAATATATCATCCCGATCGGTTATTGCACAAGAACGGTTTTATTTATACGTATTATGTATGTACATAGGCAACTGGGAGGGGGAGTGGGCGTGGCTCCTACATTGGACATCCGTGAACATAGCCGACGTTCCGGAAAATGGCTGCCGCCGCTGCGGAAGTGAGAAAATTGCACGGATTGCTGGCAGCCGCCGCTGCAGCAGCAGCAGCACTAAACGAACTGCTCAATCCGCTGGGACAGCAGCCCAATCCGCCCGCTCCGCCGCCGTCTTGCACCACAAAGTCCTTTTCCATGGTCGCCTGATGACGCAGCTGCTCCAGGCGCAGTTGGTTCTGTCGCTTCCACTTGGTCCTGCCAAATAAAAAGCAAATTGTTCGGTTAGTTTACGTTTCCATATTGATACGATCGATCATTGCTTAATTGAAACCATATTTTATAAAAAAAAAACACAAACAAAGTTCAACGGTTTTAAAAGGCCTTTAAACTTCAACAGTCAACATTGCGTATAAGTGATAAACTTCGGCTGGCCGAAAAGTTTGCTTCCTTACTTGTTACTATTTGTTGGCTTCGGGCGGATTAAGACTTATGACTTATATTATTGTTCAAAAATTTGTAAAGCAGACAATATTACTATTAATTTTTGTAATTAAATTATTAAAAGCGTTATTTGGCTAATGGTTGCTTAGGTTGATATTCATTTCTGCCATAAGAGGTTTCCGATCGGGACTCACCTTCGGTTCTGGTACCAGGTCTTGACCTGCGTCTCGGACAGATTGAGCGTTTCGGCCACATCGCTGCGATCGGCCACGCTCAGGTATTTCTGGCAGCGGAACTTGCGCTCCAGGTAGGCGAGCTGGGCGTGGGTGAAGGCGGTGCGGCGGCGTCTCGGCTTCCGGCCGCTCTTGCTCATCTGCAGTTTGTGCTCCGCATATCCACCGCTGCCTGGTGCGCCGCCCGATCCCGGTCCACTGCCGCCATTGGGATCCCCGCCACTGGCTGCCGCTGCCAAGAGACCAGCGGCCACACCCGCCGCCGCCGCCGCTGCTGCTGTCAGTCCGCTGGGGACTCCTCCACCGACTCCACCGCCTCCACCGCCACCGCCTCCTCCTCCCCTTCCTCCTCCCGAACCGGATCCGGATTCTGGGCCCCGTGCGGCCGATAAACAAGACTCCACACTGGAGTCATCGTGGTGGGTGAATCTGCGATGGTGGTGCGGCAGCAGCAAATCCTGCTGGCAACCAGGTGCCGTCGAATCCGGCGTGGATCGATCCTCGATGTCTATATCCGACTCATCATTGGATAGATCAAGTTCTAAATTTGAAAAACAAATTTAAAGAATACAGTAAAAGCTGATCATAAAATTCAAATTTTGTTTATTTTGTTTGTTTATCGATCTATATAAATTGTTATTAATTTTCATTTTACATTTTGATATTAAAAGGTATATCTCATGCTGAATACAGTTATGGCACAAATAATACAAATTGAAATATGTTATTTTTGAAATATGTGTCTTTTTTTCTGCAGTATATATATTGTTAGTAAGCAAAAACATCATTAACTGCTTTCTACACAAGAACAACTTCTCAAGTTCTTTGAATGATAAGGGGAATACAGACGAGAAGGGTGGAAAAAGCTTTTAAAAATGAGAATATATACAAATACATTTTAAGAGATTCAATGCCATTGATTGACCACTTTTGGGGATTTTAATAGAGTGAAGAGTAATGTCAAGTGGGTGGTGAAATAAAGACACTAGCATTAAGACACTGTTGCCTGCTTTTAGGTGCAGCGTGGCGTCGTTAATGCGTCGTGTTTCGACCCGTTCGTCCTGTTACTGCATCCTCTTCTTCCTCTTCTGGAACGCGTGCAGCCACTTCCGGTCGAGGAGTGACCCGGGAAACTCATTACCGCACCACACGGATGTGGCAATAGACAACGCATCGAATAAAATCGAATGGGCGAACCAAGTGGGCGTTGGTCCATTAAGATGACAGGGCGGCGAATCGGATGAGTTGCAATTTGCAGCAATCAACGTGTTATTTATATCCGCCCCACATATCCTGTTCCCATTCCAGGACCCCGTCCTTCGCAAATGGAAATGGAAATGCAAATCCAAGCCCAATTCGGACTTCCAATCGGACGCTGCGGGCTGCCTGATTAAATTCACGTGTCGTCGAGCTCTCAATTGTTTCCTATTGGAATTTACATCGTCTGCCTCATATTGCACTCAGCGAAATTTAAATATAAGATCGTTTTTCATCGTTTTGTACTCTCCATTATGTATAACACATCATAAATGGTAAATTCTTTTGTCAAACTTTTCTTCTAAGTTAAACAAAATGTAATTGATATGTTTTAATTGATTTTCTTGTCAGTTTATTCTTTAGACAAATGTTAAGTTAAAAAGTTAGGGAGATTTAAATATCATTAAAATATTTAAAAGATCTTTAAAATTGCACTACAAAGGGTTGCTGCCATTTCTAATAGGATCTTTTTAATTTTAAAATAAATTAATTTATATTTATTATAATTTCAATACAAAAGTTATTTTTATAACATCAAAATTCAAAACCAACGAATTTGTATGTGAAAAATTGCAGTTCAAATATGCATAACAAGAACAATTTTTTTTTGTATAGCCTTAACATATTTGAATAAGGATTTTTTTTCAGTGGAAAATACTCAAGTCTTGGGCAGAGCATCATCTCGATTTACGATTCTCCGAACCTGAGCGTCCGCCGCAGGCGCTCACGTGTGTCCGCTCAGCAAGGATTCTTTTTTTTTTTTTTTTGCTTCATACTTTCCGCCCACTTTTCGAGTTCAGTTGGCGGGCGGAAATAATTTTTATATTTGTGTAATTTAACCCCAAATGGGTTTTGACTTCTGATTCTATTTATAGCGATTTGCGCAGACAGGACGTAAGGGTAGATGGTGTGGATATATGAAAGGTTATTCAATTACGCGTGTGTGTGTGTGTGTGTGTGTGTGTGTGGATATCCCGGGGAGCGTCTCGAGTGAGTTCTTACTTTTTCCTCGAAAAGTCACGTCGTATCAATTTGCGGCACAATTGCCATTTAATAGGCACTTGAACTGTGAGACACATATAAAAAGAAAGAACGTAGAGATAGACGGAAAAATCGGTGAAGGATTCGCGAGATATATACTCGCATGTGCCGGCAATTTAGGCTGGATTAGGGATGGCATATGTACATATGTTAGTCCCAGAAATTTACACTTAAAATAGGACTCATCCTAAAATTCTGAAAACTTTTTGACAAAAGCAACTTTTCTTATATAAAATAAAAAATATATAGTTGTACGCAATTATACTTCTTACATAATTTTAATCTTTAATTTGTAAATAATCAACTGAATATTGTTCAATAAAACAAAAATTGAAAATAAAGAAATAACAATTTTGTGAACCATTTTTTTGATTTCAGAAAAAATGTATTTAAAAAGCGGAAATGGTTTCTAGAAAATTGAAAATAGTTAATTAATGTCTTAGTGGCTCAAGGTACCAATTTTAATTTAAAAAATACATTATTAAAAAGGCGATTTAAAAGTTTTTCTCAAACAAATAATTCCATAAAACCATGTTCACTATTTATTATCTGTGATCTCTCCCATTGAGTTCAAGGAAAAATCAAAGCTCGGAAAACACTTGCAGTAAAAGTTTCACTTTCTTCGTCTAACTGACAGCAATTAGGCTCTAAATAGTTGTAATTGTTGAGCTAAACTTTATTTAATGTCATGCATAATTAGAAGAGAACACATGACCAACTCATGCAGTTGGCCCAAACCAAAAACAAAGCATAAGTAAGCGGGCACCTGAGGCGGTACACTCGGCAACAAGTTATTTACACAATGAGCTAAATAAAATAATTCTGGGTTTTGAAATTTTTTGCTAAATTAGCATTTCTTTCTATTTATTTTGAAAAGTTGTAAGTTAACTATGCAACATTTTCAATATAAAGATATATCCTGTATATGCAATATATAACAGTTAAACCTTTCAAAAGCAATGTCTTAAGACATTCTAAAATTGTTACGTTTTGAATTTTAGAAATATTAAGTTTTAATTTAATATCAGTCGTTTCCATATTACTTAAATACTTTTGTTTCTTTATACTTTGTTTTTTTTGGCAATCCAAGTTGAATTAAAATTATTTTGTTGAAGCTTTGAGTTTTCTGTGTACTTGTGCGTGGGTGCGAAAGCGTTTGTCATTGCTGGGTTTTCAGTTAGAATCTCAGTCCCATTTCCATCCCCCAGATGTTTTCCCTTTCGGTTTCTGCTCCCCTGGCTAAAAACAATTAAAGTGTTCGTACGTGACAAATTGCTTGAGCGCAGGTTACGAACAAAGCTGTGTCAAAAGCAACAAAAATAATATTAACTGCAGCCCACACAGAAAACATTTATTTAACTTAAGCTTTGGTATTTGAAAAGCTAAAAAAAAATTAATAATATTTTGCATATGTTCAAAAGAATGTAAAGTTCTAAATTCTAAATCCCTAAATTAATTATTTAATTTTTTATACCATTTTATATAAGTAAAAAATTAAAAAAAAAAAAACAAACAAATATTAATGTAATATGTTTGTCATAAGGCATGGTTTAAGCTAAAGCGAACTGCTTTTCTTTTCTGCAAGCAAGCAGTGCACAATTAAATTACTGCCCAAAGCGCTTGTTTTTGTTGTTTCAACTCTGCCCATCTCATTCGCTCCCTCTTCCCTCTCCCTTGCTCTGCTAAAAGTTTTGTTGGCGATAATTGAGCGAAGTGTGAGATTTAAATGCCACAGGCTGCCACAAAAAAAGGGGTGGGAGAATTGGGGGCGGGAGATGTCGAGAGTGAACATGGCAATTTGTCAGCGGTTTTAGCCGAAAAACCACCGACACCCAACAATAAACATCAAAGAAGGGGAGTGAAAAACAAAGAGCAAGCTAATTGGCCAACAAAGCCGTTTAGTATATACGGAAGGTTAGATTATGTTTGTTGGCATGTCGGATCCATTTCAATATTTTACCAATGAGAGTGAAACTTTTTCTAAATTAACGAGTACAGATTTAAAAAAGCAATATTGTTGGCCTTTATTATTTTCTTAATGATTAACACTTTATTTTATTTTTTTTTATTTTATTTTTCGTAAAATGTTAGGCATCAATTTGGTTCGGTTTTTAATATCCAGATTTTTATTCCATAATATAACTGAGAATTCCGATATACTTGTGTGTTGGTTCTAAAAATTATCCAAATCTTTAATCATTTAATTTATAATAGCTAAAATTGTATGTGAAGGCATGACTGCTTTTATTTTACAAACAAATCGGCAACGTCATTAAGTTTAGGAAAACATTAAAATTTAATTACTTTTTTTTTGTTTTATTCAATTTAAATATTTCCAAACCTCTCAAGAGGTGTTATATTCAAAATGATTTTAGAAGGATCTGATTTACTCATTTCAGTGATGCTGGATACTAAATAACTTTTTTGGAATTAAAGTTAAAACGAATACTTAATTTTTTTAAATGAGTACATATCGTCAAATATTTTCTTTTTCACTATTTAGAAATATGTCCTGAAACTTACCTGAGTCCGTTTGTCGTCGATTGATCAAATCGCCAAGAAGATCACGTATTAAAAAAGATTTCGAACTCTGCATTTTAATGGATTTGCTTTACTTTGCTTTAATATAAATAGCAAACTATTTTAGTCCAGATTTTTCGGCAGCTGCTCCATTTTAAACATGTTGCACTTGACACTCTTTTTAACAAAAACAAAAATCAGTAAGTCCTTGTGTTTATTTTGTTGTATGAATTGTTTTTTTTTTTTTTTATTTTTAGTTAATTTAAATGGTTTTTCGTTTTTATGCTTATAATATTTTCCGTCGGCAGTGGTGGGCAAATTCAGTGATTATCTTCTTCGGCTCGTAATCAAATTTTCCAGGACGAAGCACACACACACACAGATTTATATAAACGGCAGAAGTAACTGTAACTGAACCGCTAAGCGCCGAGTCAAATGAACAACTGAAATGCGAAACGCCGAACGTTTATTAATCCTTTTAGCGAACATCGCCAGGATTCACCCCCTCACACGAACATACACACACGCACACACACTAACACAAACACACACACACACGCATGGAGAAAGGCAAGTGAATTACGCGGATTTGTTGCTGTAAACGGGACAGTTTAGCGCCCACGTCGACGTCGGCAGAGGAAAAATGCAAAAAAATGTTGCTACAAAAAGGAAACTTTCGCAATGGCCGCTGCCATTTAACCGTTATTTAATCAGTTGCCTTAGACGTAGCACCATCATGCCATCCCACTTGCACACAGACTTCCGCTGTCCCGTTAGCCATTTTGTTTACCGTCAGTCGCCAGGAGAGCAGGGAGCATCATCTATTTGTCTCCCTCTTGGCACAGGGCTGCCGCCTCGCCATTGGCTGTCATTGGTTTATTTTTTGCATTCCACCCCAAATGTCCTACTAAATGAAAAGCAACCCTTAAAGCTTTCGTTACTCCGCCAGTCGTTCAAAACCTCTGATAGTCGCTGGTATTACGGTCTATGAATCGGACCAAATTCGCAGGTTAAAAGTTCAAACACCAGAAACCGTCGCAACCGAACGGACATATCGAATCGCCGTCGGTAAGTTGACAGTTGTTAATTAAATCTAAACAAATTTGAACGCTTTAAAATCATTCGAAAATTTAGTGGAGCACAATATTTGAATAGAGCAATAGATAAACAAAGCCTTTTTGTTATTATTTTTACATATTTGTGTAAAAATATTTGGAGTGCCCATTAGCAAAAATAAAAGTTGTAACCAAGTTAATTAAATATGTTGCATACCTAAAAAGGGACTTGCCTAGATTCATATGTAGTATTAAAAATATATCGTTAAAATGTTTACCGCTTAAAAGCATTAAGCATATACAAATTTTGTTTAGTTTTCGATATGCTGATTTTCAAACCTTTGACAGACACGAATTGATCGACATTAATCATGATTTTTAATGCTTTGTATCTGTATTTTCAGTGATTGCATGCATATTTAAAACAAATGCAGATCTACTATAAAGTATTGCTTAGGCAATATATTTCTATATTTTTACAATATTTTAGCGTCCAAATACGTGACGCATTTGTGATGCTTTAAATTACTGGGACTTTTCTACGACTAACTCTAATCCTATAGAATAGCTTTTTGTGATCTAAGTGGTCGAACGCTAGGAATGTGACTCTTAGTTTTGGGACTCTTTAATTAAATCTAAGGCACTTATAGCTGCGCCCAAGAGATGAATGGAACCGGTGACGAGCACCTCCAGTTGCCCGCCGTTGTCCGTTTGGGGAAATCGTCGTCGGATGGCGGTAAAGGCGTCGATTAGCGTTGCGTACACCTGGCCCACATCCTTTTGCTGTTGCTTTTCGCAGAGGTGACTCCATGCCTCGGCAATGGCCCGCGCCCGTTTCAATTGCAATTCGGCACTAAAGCGAACCATCACCTGGCTGGGAGCATTTGGCGTGGAGGTGGCCAAATTGGGCACAAAGCAGATCATGTCGAAGGCACAGGTCCGATTTAAAAGGTCCAGCAGGGGCTCGAAACCGGATTCACCAGTGCGATTGAAGATTAGGATCTTTGGATTTACACTGCAAAAGAAAAGGAATCAAAATGACTTAAGGTTATATTTCTATAAATTTTAAAAAATAATTAAAACCTAAAATATTTCAGCTTGTCACCTTTCCTAATCCTTTTTTTTTTTTTTTTGTACATTGCTGTTTAGAATGTAGTTCTGCTTTGAAGTTCAAGTTTATCTTAAATTAACTTGTTTACTACAGACTTTTCCAGCCAGTTGGCTTTGAGCTTTATTTGTAAATTACTTTACTACACATTTATTACTTTTCGGCTGTAAGCAAGTCTCAGCCTTGAGTTTTTCTTAAAACCTTGTTAACATTGTTTGCTTGGATTTTGGATATAATAGATCATTACAATAAGCTCGGAGAAAAAACGACAAGCAAGCGGTTATTTTTTAATGGATAATCAAAAAAAAAATACTAAGAAATATTTAATAACGGGTACAATAATATAACTTTTGTAGGGAAAACAAAATTGTCAAATTTAAATTTAAGTTTTAGTTTCTTTAAAGTTTGTTGTATTTGCATTATTGTAGGGTGTAATAATGAACAATTGTAGTAGCTAAAATCATAATGAAAGATTTTTATTTTTCTCAGAATGAATTAGATAGTTTTAGCTGAGGTAAAAAATCAAAATAACCCTAAATTGATAACAACTTTTAAAGTTAAGCCGACTTGAGCGACTGACTAAGCAATATCTACTTAGGATCCTTAAAGGACCCCTACTTACCTGTCCCGCACGCTCTTTTCGAACCATTCCGTGCACACCGCCATGCTCTCCAGGGTGTGAGCTCCGTCCAGATGGAGCCGCAATCCCTGCCACTCGACCAACTGACACCGACCTGGCCAGTGGGCGCTGGTTAGTCCGTGCAACAGTTGCGGATCCATCCTGATCTCATTGGCAGCATGCTCCTGTCGCAGGGGCTCCCTGGCCTGCGACAGCCAATCTCCGGCCAGCTGAATGGCCAGAGATCCATTCAGTCGAATCACATCGGTGAAGGTCTCCCAAATCGGAGCGTACGTATCCGATCGGAGGAAGTATTCCTCGGTGGGTGGAACCTCGAAGAGGATGGCGCCCTGCTCCTTCGCCCGCTGGCGGATCACCTGCAGACACTCCGGCTGACTGACATGGGTGAAGACATGCGAACCGGGCTTGATGATGCCCGCCTTCTGCCAGGCGATCTCGGGCAGTGTGCGACCCAATAGCTCCGTGTGCTCCAGTCCCAGCGATGTGATGCCCACTGTGCGCACATTTCTCACGATATTCGTGCAATCGTGCTCACCGCCGATGCCCACCTCCAAAACGACCACATCCACCTGCTCGGCGACGAATACATGAAATCCCAGGATGGTCAGGAACTTGAAGTAGGCGGGCATATCGTGCTCGTACTCTCGCAGATCCCACAGTCGATTGTAGACCTTCCAGAACTGCTCCGTGAACTTCGCCTTGGCCAACAGCTGGCCGTCGATGCGGATCCGCTCGTTGGTGGACAGGATGTGCGGGGAACTGAAGAATCCCGTGCGGACGCCTTGATGACGCAGCAGGGATTCGGTCAAGGCGCAGGTTGAGCCCTAAAATAACAAAGTATAAATAAATTATTAAACATTTTAACGCTCTTGAGACATACAAATAATAGTGAGTTAAATCAAGTTTTCACAAAAAAATTAAAATATTTGTTTGCCAAAAGTTATAACCCCGATTTTCCATTGAAAAGTCATTCCAAGAAGATCTGATATGGCAAAATGCCATACCAATAAAACTAATGGTCCAATAATGAAATGTGATACCTCGTTGAGCTCAAAATAAATGTCTTAATAGCTTTCAACTAGTTGAGAAATAAAAAGAATTTTTTTTGATAATAAATATATAGAAATACTTGTAAAAATGAAATATGTAAACAAAAATAAATAAAAACATTAAGAGTGTTTGCTGGGAACATAATATTCAATAAATAAAAAAAATCATGGGGAAATTACACATTTTTTAGAGTATTTTCAAACAAGGAAATATCAATATACATATATACTTATTAATAGATTGATATGAAAGCATTTTTTTTGTAGCGTTCCCACCAATGGAAATCCATTAAAGGAATTAAGTGCGAAATTATCAGAATTGGATTTTATCTGATTACACATACATATTACTTATCTGTGGACGTGTCTTAGAACAGTACAAAAACGTGCAAATAAAAAGTAAATAAGTCAAAGCTCAATTTACGACCAAGCGAAATTCGAAACAAGAAATAACTGGAAAGTAAACAAAATGCAGGTACTTAGACGTGATGATACTTCTTAACCATAAAACTGCATTTTACTGTCAACAAGACTATTCGCCCTTATGTAGTTTCTTTAAACAGGAAATTAAATTATATTACATATGTTAGATTTGGTGAATTTGCATAGACATAGATAGTAATGATGGGATACATTTTTTTTTTGTGAAATAACTACTATCAGTTAGTAAACAAAGCGCTTAATCGCAGTTGTTGCTAACTATAAGCTATGTTTTATCAGCATGAATTTGTCAAGCAGCCTTGAAATGTGTGATATAAAATATGTTCGACTAAGTTAAAAACAAAAAGGTATTAAAAGGATATTTTTCACCCAACACTGAATATACCCAAATGGTTATCATATAAAGGGTATCAAAAACACCAACAGATCCATTAATAAAATGAATATCAAATTGGAAGTCAAACAAATCTTATCAGCAAGTGAGCGATTAGCGACCACGCCAAGAGAGCGAGTTTTCTGATTGGATGAGAGAGACAGAGAGCAAAGCGAACTTAGAGAGCGATGCAGCAGTTGATTAGCCTATTTAGAAACCAGCTGATGTTGAATAACAAGTGGAGCATGAAGTAAAACTCAAAAACTAAACCAAAAAATAAAAGACCACAATTGTAAAGCAAACAGAACACGAAAACAGGTTAAAGATTGTCTGCTGACCTTGCCCTTGGTGCCGGCTACATGGATGAAGGACAACCGCTCGACGGTTTCAAGCGACAGACCGCTCCGCTCCAGATATTTAACGGTATCCGCTTTGGTATCAACACGACCATTTTTCATCGAATTCCTTATAGCTGCATCATTTGACTGCAGGGAGTTTAACCGATTTATGGCCTCCTGGAAATGGATAGAAAATTTAATTAATTATTGTTTTTATTTTTAAAGCTAAAGACAATCCCTTCGATTTTATATTTCCCATTTAATTACCAATTTCTATATTTATTGGACAAATAATATTTAGGTTGGCTTCTTTAATCACAGTCGGTCGCCAGAATGTATGCAATATGTTCTTTTAGTTTAGTTCTAAGTTCAAGTATTTCTTTTCTGTTATCATGATGTGAATTTTAAAAAACCAAAAGACCATTTTAATCAATGCTCGTTTTTCTATAGCTTTAAGAAATTTTGAAGCCCAAATTTGTACATCATAAGAACTTCTCTGGGAATGGCTTGTATTCATTTTAGATATATAATTAGTAACCAGATTTGGGTAAAACCGAATTGTTAACTTAAGGAAACATATTAGGCGAGATATAAAATCTATAGCAAATAACAAAATAATGCAAAATTGATGTTTTTTTGGGCAGCCAGATTTTATGTTGCCAAACTAAATCTATTTTGAATACTCGATCCAAAGTCGGGGTTTGTTTGTTTTGTAAATGAAAAATTGTTAACCATTTTAATGTACATAGTTCTGGGCATTTACTAGGACTTACCTCAAAAGCGGCATTCTCAGCTTTGCTGTTGTTGCTGCTACCATTACTTGTACTATGATTTCCATTAATGTTCTGTGAAGGGAGATTTAAGACGAGCTTGGCCAGGCTAGCACCTGAACCGGAAAATGATCCCGCCAGCTGATCTTTGGGCGCAGCCAATCGTACTCGGTCCATGCGTCGGGTGCTCACTGTACAGAGGGAGCTCACTGCACTGGAAGTGCTCAAGAGGTTAGCGATGTGGGCTAGCGATGTGGGCTTGCCAATGCGACGGACTAAGCGGCCCAGCTGACGAGCAGCCATATTTATAGAGCCGGAACGGGGACCGTCGTCCGACAATCGACTCTCCGGTCGCGGCTCTCGCAATTCCAATCACAGGTGCGTGAGCGGTATCTAATGACAAAAGAGACGACAAAAAAATTAGTAAATAAATGGCTTCAATTACAATAGAAACAGCGAGCAGACAGTCGGATATTCTAAAAGCGCGTGTGCGTGGCCTGTAAATTATACACTAGACCAATTGACCGATAAGATTTAATCAGTACATATGGTAATAAGTAAAAAACTTAATTGGTAATCCCAAGTGTATTCAAATATGGCGCCAGATAATGGATATCGATTGTGGGTACTGGATAAACAAGCTCGATAACAAGCCTATCGCACACACACGTGCTTAAAAAACGCACACACACTATTGCAGCAGCCCAAATAAACAATACTACGATTTCCTCACTTGCAATTGCAATAATCAAACTTTTCAATGATATTTACACTCACTGGATATGTAATTTCATTTATGGAAAATTTGTTTAGCAATAAAAACGAAATCAACGTAATCGGCAAAACACACACACAACAACACTGCATAACATGTGCCCGGCGAACAGCTGTTTTAGCGGCATAACTGTGCAGTTGGCTATTTCCAAATCAAATCTGGCTGCTACAAATGGCTTGGCTAATTTTGGTGTTCTGTTCACATACAATTTTTTGGTTTTAAATTCAACAATTTATGTTACTTATTTTTGTATTGCAGTTATTAAATATCTTTGTATCCGCTTTTTGCAATTAATAGTTTAATAAAAACGAATTTAAATAGTTTTCTTTAAGCCACCAATGTAGCTATATTTAGCTGTTTTCGATTGTTATTTTTTAGCTAACCCATGATAATTAGCAGTTGGCCAACACTGCCAAAATGTAAACAGTGGTAACACGCGGGTTCAGTTGAAATTGAAATGAATAGATGATGGCCGCGGAAACAACTGCGAAATCTAGGTAAAATGAGACTTCCAGCCAGAAATTAGAGCTCTAATAGACACTCGATTCTTTAGCAACATGCGCCTGGGAATGTGCGAGGTGTGTGCGGCGACTGAAGCACGCTACGCCTGTCCCAAATGCGAGGTGAAGACCTGCAGCCTGCCCTGCGTCCAGATCCACAAGAAGGAACTGACCTGCGATGGACAGCGGGATCGCACCAAATTCGTGCCCCTCAGCGAGATGACAGCCCGGGAATTCATGAGCGACTACTGCTTCCTGGAGGAGTGTACACGCTATGCGGAGAATCGTAAATCCGATCAGTGCAAGCGATTCACCAGCGATCAAAGAAATCTCCCAGTGCCGCAGCATCGAATGCAGACGGCGGCCAAGAAACGCAACATCCAATTGCGCCTGCAAGCGGCCAACTTTAGCCGGCACAAGGAGAACACCACGTATCTGAACTGGAAGCTGGGGCGCTTCTATTGGCGCGTTGAGTGGCTATTTGCCAACATTCCGCTCGAGGCAAATTCTGGGGATGTGGCACGTTTTGTGGACGCCCGCTGTGATGAGGAGCTTGTCCTGTCGGATCTGATCCTTAAGTACGTTGATCTACAGCAGGAAACGGCACGGAACTATCGCAAGCTGCTAGCCAACCATCAAACGGCTGGTATTGGCCAGCTCAGTTTTTGGCTTAAAGCCGAGGGCGTGCGTCGCAGCTCAACGAGATGTTACCCCCTGGAGGCGGCCAAAACGCTGGCCGAGAATCTATCGGGCAGGACCATCGTGGAGTTTCCCACCATCTTTATTACCTATGAACCTAAGCCACCAGGAGGACATGAAGCCATTGACAGCAGTAGGTTTCCCTTCGAAATTAGAAATATCTTTAAATTTATAACCTGCTGATATTCATTTATTTTAAATTAATATTCAACTAAGCTCATTAACATCATAAGTACGTTATTTCCTTTTTGCCAAATAGAAGATTAACAAAATTTACAATTTAAACTAACTATGATGATTTATGTTTCAAATCTACAACTTATAATGAATTAGATGTCTTTAATCAAAAAAGATTTCTAATGACTGGCATGGTAATCAATGGAAAATCCTTTTATTTTGAAAAAATTATCCCAGTTTATATGATCATTCTTGGATCAATATTTTAATTTAAGTAAATTCTTAAAAGATTTTATTTTAACAAAAGTTGGAATCAATATTGTAATCTTAAACATTTATTGCCATAAAGTAAAGAAACCGAAAGTGTAACCTATCTCATAAAGATATTTTAAACATTTTTAGGTGAAGAATTAGAGGAGGAAGAGGCGCCCATGAGCAAACCCAGCTCAACAGTCAAAGCAACCTCAATTGCAGAGGATTTGGATGAACCCCATGATGTCTACCATGATCTGGCTGCGGCCTTTGCTGGTGAGGATATCAGTGAACCTGAAGACGACGAGGAATTCGAGGCACTTTACAGAGAACAAATGGAATCGTAAAAAAAACGAACCGCACCTAAAGATAATAGGCAGATATATGTACATACGTCCAAAAATGACATAAGAGCAAGAAGCCATGGGCAAAGAGGCTAATAAGTCTGCCCAGAATTGGCCAGCGACAAAAAAATGCAAACAAATATGCTGAAAGGTCACGATGCCAGCCATAATCACTGTTCATTAAGCAAATAAAACTCTTCAATTGTATATTTTTACATAAATGTTGTGTATTTTCTCGTACGCATTTGATTTAGTTTTTATTTTAGGCTATTTAAACATTAAGAATTCATACCACACTTTCGTTTCGATCTAGTTCCATCATTGTCAACATCATCATATTACCAATCAATAATGATCATCATCACCATCATAATATTTGTATAATAAAGTAGTTTGAAAAATCATGTTACAGAGCTTGGGTTAATCGTAATTTGTGTACACATTTTGAGTACAGAGTTTGTGGTCAGTACACAGCAGTTTGTCTCTTTTTGGAGGATCTCTAGTTTAATTTTGATATACCAATTAGCATTTCGATTTGTACATAATACATATGTGTGCCAGTATATTCCTATATAATTTCATTATTTTACTTTCATTCCTTCTTCTATTCTTTGCTTCTTTTTTTTGTTTGTTTTGTTTTTGCCTGCACCAGTTTTTTTTTTCGTATATTAATAAAATTAAAAATTAAAGCATAAACAAACAAGTTCTAACAAATAAACATTTTCAAAATGCATTTTCAATTCAAACAAAAAGGTAAACAAATAGAGGAAAAACCATTTAAATTGTTCTAAAAATACATTTATAATATTATATATATATATATAAGTGGAATCATTTGCATATTTTTTACACCAATCGTTTAAAGAGACACAGATAAGAATACATCGAGAAAGGAAACCATGGAGAACAAATAATTTGCCGCTTAATCGCTTATCAATCCAATATCAACTATGTATGTAGTTATAGATAACAACAGATATAGATCAGTTATATATAGTATTTAGATGTGGAAAATACAGCAATGCATAATCAAAGTGAATTCCGAATTAATGTCTGATCTCCTCTTCGAATACATATTCCATACAGCTAAACAAAAAATAATCATAAAAACTATGCAACATACAAAAGAAACATGTATATAAACAGAAATCGGGATTGTGGTTATATAGAGAGGGGATTGGGGATCGGGTGACTACATAGAGAAAATTTACATATATATTTCGCTAGTCGTACATAAATCGCTTTCTTCATCGTTTCCTCAATTAATCATTCACTAAACGTTAAGACCATCGATTGCACACAAACTCACTCACACACACATCACACACACACCACACACACACGCGCGCGTACAAATTGATAAAATTAAGTGTTTAATTTAGTTGGGTGAGTTAATTTAGTAGACACGCACATTTAGGACAGACAGACAGAAAAGTTGAACAAACTGTTGGGGAGAGTTTGGAAAAATCGTTGGACCAACTTTTCCCCTGCTGGAAAATGGCCTCATCTCATCTCATCTCATCTCATCGTGTGTATGCGTGTATATATTATATGCATGACTGAGTGTGTGTATGTGCGTGTGTGGGCGGGCGGTTGGGCGGTCTGCTGGTCAACGTTCAACGGTTGAAAGATTTCTTTTTACGTAGTTTCGAAGTGCTGCTGCTGCTGCTTCTGCTGCTGCAATGAAAGATTAATCCCATCAATCAGCGATCATCCGCTAGCGCGCATGCAACTCACATCTCGTTGGCATTTGTGGCAGCCGTTTTAAGTCCCCATCCCTTCTCCTCCTCCAAGCAGATGGCAGCTCCTCCAGATCGCAGGGGTTGCTGCTTTAACCACTTTCACCTTCGAGACACCCTACTGCTGGTGCGTGGGCGCCGCTCCGGGGACAAAGTAACCGCCCTGGGGAACGGCTGCCGGTGCCATTATGGGGGCCAGGACGTTCTCCGGCGCCGCCGACATGGGCGCCCCCGAGGGATTGAACACATCCACATAGGAGTTCTTCAACGCTGCGAAGTAAACGATTTGAAATGGTTATAAATAGGGTTTGAATGCGGTTTAAATTGATTTCTCTAGCACCCTGGAATAATAACGCTAATAAAACATGTTAGTACAAATTTTGTTACCGATCCGAAAAATAGAATAAACTAAAACTAAATTAATATAAAATCAAAATGATAGATGGTCAAGTTAATTTTAGGATAAGAGTTTAGCATTGAAAAGAAAATTGCTTAAGAATTCAAGTCCAATTTATTCTTAACAATTTGGGCAAACTAAGACTGAATTAATAAATTGTAGAGAAAGGCATTTTAAACAAAATCATTTCAAATCAAATTGATCGATTTGTTTGCTACATTTAAAGTGGTTATTTGTTTTATTTTTTTAATTAACTAATAATCATTCCAAATCAAATTGATCGATTTGTTTGCTACATTTAAAGTGGTTATTTGTTTTATTTTTTTAATTAACTAAAAAGGGTCTTCTGCAAGCTGATTTTTTAACGTCTTAAAAATCTAGGTTTAATACTGTTTTAAATTGAGAGTGGTAGTAAGTTACTCACTGCGATTGCGTTGCATCTTGAACATGTTGGACTGCAGCTTGGGCTGTGGTCCGCCGGGAGTGGCTGCAGGATTGGTAGCCGCCGCTGCCACCGGTGCAGGCGATGGGACAGGAAGTGGCGCCGGCGATGGAACCGTGGGCATCATTTCGGGCGCCGGAGCAGCCGTATAATCAATGGGACTGCCATACATTTGCGGCTGAGACGCGGGCGGCTGGTCCATCGACGGTGCTGGTTGATGGCCACCCAATGGATTGGTGGCCATTAGTGGCGGTTGTGCCGATGCCGATGCCGATGCCATGCTCATTCCTGGTCCAGCAGTTGGCAATCCAGGCGGCATGCCCATGCCCAGATCACTCATCTTGGGCGGCGGCTTAAAGCTCTCCGTCTCGTCGACATTGCCCTCGGTGTTCGTCCAGCATTTGCGCTCCTTGTCCCACACAATGGTCGGATTCTTGTCGTCCGGCAGGATCATTTGGTTCTTCGGCTTTAGCGACAGCTTGTTCCACAGTCCGCCAAACCAGCCCGCATTCTGATTGCCAGGTGCACTGTTTGGGTGAAAGTTAATGGTATAAATTATAAAAAAGTTTACCTAGAAATTATCAGACACTAAGACTCACCCAAGATCGCCGCCGGAGTTGGCCGCCTGTTTGCCCGACGCCTGCTGTTTGCCGGCAGCCTCAGAGGAGGCGCCTCCAAGCGATGGTTTCTGGCCAGGATGAGATGCACCTCCATCATCTTCATCTCCGTAGCTCTTTGACTTGGGCATGGAAATAGCCGGGCGAACCTGTTGTTGCTGCTGCAGCTGTTGTTGTCATTGTTGTTATGGTTGTTGTTGTTGTTGTTGTTGTTGTTGTTCGGATTGCGATTGAAGTTGGAGTTAAGAAATGGCATTGGATTAGTCTTCTGCTAGAGGCATTCGGTTAAGTCATAAGTCATAGAGAGTTCTTAGACAGAGTAGAGTGTTAAGGTTGGTTAGTAACAGATTGGTTATATGGATTATGGATTATGGATTAGTTAAATCGAATCGAATGAACAACGTAAACATGGAAAATTAATCAACTGGCGCAGTCAAAAAGAAAAAAATCTCTTGCTCACAATTATCGTATGTATATAAGGCTTAGTGATAACAGATTGCTTAGGGGCACATTAAGACTAATTATAGTTTTTAACAGCTAACAGTTAAGACAGACTCCAGGTACAGAAAGCTCCCAAAAAACACAAAAGAAAAATAAATAAATAAAATAAAGCAGCGTTGCATTTTGCTCTTCATTTTCTTTCTATCCAAATCTCTTTGTAAATACTGATCTTTTTTTGTATTACTAAGACTAGAACTTTGTTTTTTTATGGGAATTTGTTTACAATTTCTTCTTAGATCTAAGAGTCAAGTTTGGATTTGTAGATGTGGTGCTGGTGCTGCTAGTGCTGCTGCTGCTTCGATGGCCTCTTCGTGTGGGTGCATCAATGTCGAAGGTGCGCACGGCAGCTACCGGTTGCACCTGTTGCACCTGTTGCTCCTTTTTGCTGTCCAAATAGTTCTCGAATCGACTGAGGCTCTGCTCAACCTCGGAGCACATTTTCTTGTAATTAAGTGGTATGCCTGGATTGGCTATCAGCTCCTCCATGGACCACACATGCTGCGGCTGGGCAGCACCTGTGGCCGCCTCCACAGAAGCCGGTGTTCTCTCAGCCCTTCCTAATCCTCTCAATCCTCCTAATCCTCTTGCTCTGCCACCCTCTTTGCCTGGTATAATGCCATACTTGTTGAGCAGTTCGTGGGCATAGTAATCGCCATCGTCAAAGCTCTCGTCATCGTCGACGGCATAGGGGAATAGAACCTCGTCCGCATACTCGTCATCCTCCTCCACATCCTCTTCGGCCTGCTCCTCACCCTCGGCATCCTCGTCGATAACGTAGTCGTGGAGCATGTAGTTCCGATAGCGTTGCAAGTCGCCACGATCAGCATTCGCCTCGGGGTCATAGGTGTTGCTCTTGATTTGATTGTGCACCTGGGTGAGGGGCATATCAATGGGATAGGTGCCATTGAAGACAATGTGGGGCTTCCGTGAGAGATGTACCTTCGGCTTGGCTTGGGCCAAGGCCAATGTGTTTTCCTCCTCCTCCTCCTCCTCCTCCTCCTCCTCCTGCTCCTGATCATCAATATCCAGTTCATGTTCGAATTCTTGATCCGATTCAGCAATGGTCGTGGGTAGATTAAAGTTAACCCGCTTTCCAGTTCCCGATCCCGATCCCGATGATCCGCGAGCACCTACAGATGTTGTTATCGAAGTGGTGGGCGCTGTGGGCGTGGCTGTAACGGTGGCTGCTTTGGCGGCAATGAAACGTGTGGGCGTGGTTAGCGTTTTTGGCGTTGCTAAGTAAGGACTATTTTGGCTGTTAGACTTTCTACAACTTGGTAATTGGTTAGGAAGAGCAGTTGATGCTGCGAATGCTGCTGTAGTTGCTGTTGTTGTTGTTGTTCTGTTGCTGCTGCGATTGTTGCTGTTGCTGCTGCTGTTGCTGTTGCTGGTAGCTTGGTGTCGTTTATTTATGTTGGAATAGCTACTTACATCATTCAAATTGAATGCCTTGGCCGATGTTGTCGCCGTCGTCGTTGCTGTTGCTGGTGTTATCTGGGCAATTGCTGCTGCTGCCGCTGCTATT